GCTGATGCTGGTGAGTTTCTGTGGTGCGGTTATATGCAGATACAGTTTAAGCTCGCGAATTTGCAGGAATATGTAACTACTGACGCATGCAAATATATATTGTAACTGCAAATAAAAATCGAGTTTTGGTATATTTAAATGTCATTCATATTAAAACATAAATCGTTTCAAATTACTTAATCGTCTGCTTATTTGTCAAATTTGTACGTTCATCATTACATAAGTTTATATTTATATCCGTTTACGTACATACATGTGTACATATTTTTTTATTTGGCACATAAAGATGCACACTTGCAGAGAAATTTGACGTACATATGTATGCGTGTATTATTCTGTTTTTAAATGTGTAAGTAGTTATATTTTATACTTATATATTATGTAGATGAATCTATATGGATGCAAGTCGCCCAATTACGTATTTTACAGGGTTTTACATACACATTAAATATGGGAAACTAATTTGTAACTTCAAACCAAATTATTTAGTTAACCGTAAATAGATACATATATGAATCTGCAACCCAACCTTAAACCTTTGAAAATGTATGCTGTGCGAAATCTCGTCATTGGTCTCTGGTCCTTCGGACGAACAACGTTTATCCTTACCAAATTATTACTTACATACATCCGAACTAATATAATTTACAATTTTTTTGTCGGACACAACATCCCCCTGAAATCCAAAGTATGTCGGAATTTATAAAAACTCTCAACGTTTTGGAACAGGCAACGGGTTACTACTGGACATGCCCACTTGAATGGAACAGTCGTCAAGGGAAAGTCTTGTATTACCCGCCAAGTAAAAAATTACTCCCCTGGCTGATTGTCTTCCTTTTTTGTGGGTTTCAAGTCATCACGTGCTTGGTCGTCCTTGCCCTACAGTTTTACGGCTTTATGCATCTTCCCATGATGAATGCTCTATTCGTCCTTGGAATCTGCGGACTGCAAGGGTTCGGAATTATTGTAGAAATGGCGAAATTGCTTTGTGGAAAAATGACCGCCCAAGTGTTCGGGGAATTGTTTGTCTTGGATAAAAGGTCGAAAGAAGGTAATTTTGTATCCTTTGATTAATAAAAACAACTGCTACCGCTTGGTATTAAATTTGCTAAATCTTATTTAATACCAAGCGGTGGCAACTTTAATACTGCGGAATCAGTTCCTTCTATACTAGATTTCTAACAATGTACTTAATCCACAGATTGGGGAAAAAGTAGGCAAGAATCATTCAGATCTCGGCTTGGAACATATCTCGAAGCAGTTTACTACTACCTCTGTTTCCTCCCCTATTTCTACATAGCACTGGAAATCTACTTTGGCTTGGATCGATTCTCACAACTTTATGCGTATCTCGTCTCCACTAAAATCATTCCAGTTGGCGGAATCGTACAAAAATTAGCAAAAATGATCCAACTTCTTCTCAGCTACGGTTCCATATTTTGCTACATTCTCGCATCCAGCTCCTTCTCTGGACTTTTCACCATCATAATAATTTGCGGAACTATTATGCACGGATGTCTATCACATTTCGCAAAATCCATGCAAAACAGGTTTGATCCAGTTAGATCGAAACAAATATTGGCAGGTTATGCCATCATAGAAATCCTGTTAGCCATTGTACACGAATTGACGAGCTCGTTTACTCTGGTTTTAATGGGATTCGGCGCATTGGTGAGTATCGTGTGTAATTTTATGTCGATTAAAATGCACAGGAACATCCCAATGCCACTCTACCTAGTGTGTCCCTCGTTAGCTGTAATTGTCCAGATAAGTACCCCAGTTATTTTACCCGTTGGGATAAATGTGTATGAAGTGGCCACTTTAGTAAAGCAAGGTTACAGAAAAAATCTACATTTTGGCGGTGACATTAAATATATCAAGAGGAGGGTGCGAGCAATTAAGGTTCTGCGGGTGTACTGTGGTCTATTTCAATTTGATATGTTTGTCTTAAAAAGTTCGGTAAAATCGGTATATTTCTACAATATTTTGTGTTACACGATAAACTTGTGTCTGACGGTTGATGGATAGGGTAATTTTTGTAGAGGAGTGAGTGTAGTCCATAATGTGCACGTGGGTTTAGCTCATAATTATATGCACATATATATTTACCAATTCTTCTGGCCACGACAAATCCAAAAAGATTAAGTTAAGAAACAGGATCGTAAAACGAGCCAGACTTTCCCTTCCGATCTTCTCAAGTAAATAGTTGGTTGCGACAGCAGTTTGCTTGCTGTCCCCCAGGAACTTGTTTTCACTACGATTTGAGTGGATCTCTGAAATTACCATTTTAGCCATTGGAAGACGAAACTGGATTCATTTTTGGTAGAAATTGTAGAAGTTATGGTAGAAATCTGAACATGCATTTCAAAATTGAATGGCTATGTAGTGTGGGTATAGTGCCTCGAGTCAAACAAAATTTCCTGGAGTATGTAAAATTAGTAATGCCCTACATTAGACTACCATAATTCTAATTTTAAGCATTTGACCCACTTACATAGGCCATACGAACGTTTAAACATCACCATTAAGCTTTAAATGTATGATTTCGTCGGCCATGGCGATGCGCTGATACTGACATATTAACATAAACTAATTGAAAATAAAATGCTAATTTATCATATTTTTTAATGCCACGACTCCATCATCTACTAATTTGTCAACTTGGTGCATACATTTACCAATGCATCCATACGCATATGCATATGTACATGCATACCTTTAATATTATAAATACATGTAAATATGCACAATTTTGCTGAGGAGTCTCGCTTTTGAATTTTACAAGTCATTTAAAGAAACTTTTAATGCAAACGGTCCAATTAAGCATGTATTTTACTGATGCATATCTTTTAAATATAGGCAAGTAACCTTTTTAAAATCGAATTTGCAGATTTAATTGTATACCAATCATTCTACATATATTAGATTTTCATGTTTTATATTATTTTTCACTTTTTATTCTCTACACATACATAAATACGTTGGCATTAATTGGCAGCTATCAACCTTTGCGAATTATTCCGTTTTGAAATGTCTGAACAGACTATGCGACATTGATGCAATCGTCGAATTATGCATTTTTCAGATGATTACGGTTTAAATATGGGCAACAAGTCTGTGTTAAGCTTAACCTAAATTTTTCTAGTTAATTTTTATATGATCCTGCAATTAAACGCCAAAAGTATAAAAACATGCGAAATATCATCATTGTCTAGTCCGTTGGACAACAAGAACTTTCAGTTGTCAAGCAAATACTTGCTAACCGACTTACTGATGAAATTTGCATATTTTTATCGATTACATTAACTCCCTGAAACCCAAAGCATGTCGGAATTTGTAAAAACTCTCAAAGTGCTGGAACAAGCCACAGGTTACTACTGGACATGTCCGCTGGAATGGAATCGTGTCAAGAGAAACTCGTTTATCACCCTCCAAGTCAAAAACTAATCCCTTGGCTGATCGTCCTCTCGTTTTGTTGGTTTCAAGTCATAACGTGCTATCTCGTCTTTGGATTACAATTTTTAGGCCTGATGAATCTCCCCATGATGAACGTTCTCTTCGTGTTTGGCATATGTGGATTGCAAACGTTCGAAATTACTGTGGAGATGGCGAAGTTACTTGTTGGAAAAATAACCGCTCAGGTTTTTGGGGAATTCTTTGTCCTGGACAAGAGGTCGATTGAAGGTAATTTTATACCCCGTGGTTAAAAATATATGTAGCATATCGTTTCCACTGACAATCTAAATATGCCATAAAATAAATAATTATACATATTTGTATGTAAACACTTAGAAATCTAGCACAAAAATAATACCAGGCAGTATTCATATATGTACCCCTCTGAAAAGGTAGGATTCGTAAGTACATAATACAGTAATATCCCGGTATTCATGTCGTACCGTAAGAACCAAAACGCTAGTCACTGACGTTTTTTTCTATGTACTAAATATGTCCAAAATTACCTGAAATTTTACTCAAATATGTATAAAAACAATAATTATTTAGGATTAGGAGAAAGCGTAATTTTGAGGAATCTATACCTGCGTGATCATACCAGATTTGTAACTATGTTTTCTCCACAGATTGGGGAATGAATGGACAAAAACTATTCAGATCTCGCCTTGGACGCTATCTCGTCGCATTTTACTACTACCTTTTTCTCCTCCCGTATTTCTACATAGCACTGGAAATCTACTTTGGCTTGGACCGATACTCACAAGTCTATGCTTATCTTATCTCCACTAAGACCATCCCGGTTGGCGGTATCGCTCAAAAATTTGCTAAACTGATTCAACTCCTACTCAGCTACGGTTCCATACTTTGCTACATTTTCGCATCCAGCTCTTTCTCTGGAATTATTACAATCATCATAATTTGCGGAACTATTATGCACGGATGTCTGTCACATTTCGCGAAATGCATGAATACCAAATTCGATGCGGTCAGAGCGAAACAAATTTTGGCTGGGTATACCATGATTGAAATTTTGCTGGGAATTGTGCACGAATTGACGAGTTCGCTTATCCTGTTTTTAATGACGTTCGGTACAATGTCGAGCATCATGAGTAATTTTATGGCGATTAAGATGCACCGGAAAATCCCGATGCCGCTCTACCTCTTGTCGCCCTGTTTTGCGGTAGTTATCCTGATAAGTATCAGAATTATTCTGCCCATTGGGATTAATGTGTATGAATTTGCTAGTTTAGTGAAAGAAGGTTATCAGAGAAATCTACATTTTGCGGGTGACATTAAATATATGAAGAGGAGAGTGCGAGCAATTAAGGTCTTGGGCGTGTACGCTGGTGTATTTCAGTTTGACATGTATCCCTTGAAAAGGTCGACAAAATCCACTTTTTTCGATAATATTTTAGGTTGTACGATAAATTTGTGCATGACTGTGGACGTGTAGGTATGAACTTGAGAATTTATATAAAGACTTTCCTCATAATGAAAGTGTCAGACCTGCAAAAAATGAATGCTTGAATCAAATGTGGTGAATATTTTGTGCAATACTAGCGATGGAAATACTGAACTTTTTAATCCTTGGGAACATACGTATTTTTAACACATACATAAATAAATACATACTTAATAATTATTACTTGTATCAGCTTTTTAAAAAAATGGTCCAGTTATTTAGTTGATAATATTTATGCATACACATATTATTTACAAACATCCAAAAAATATATGTATGTACAAGTTTTCATTTAGTCAATCCAAACAAAATTTAAGGCATTTCATCTTTATTTTTATTGCCGTTCAGTTAACTGCTGTCAAAAATGAAAATTGCTGCTTATACCGGATTTTTGCTGATAATTCGACATCTTATGTACTAATAATATGAAATTGTTAATAACTATTTTTAAGATAAAAGGCATGTTTCTGGTTCGTAAGCTGATCTTCGTGGTAAAGGGCTTATGAAGACTGAAATCCTTAATTATTTATACAATTACAGATATTCTATCAAATAATTAGCTTACCAGATTTGTACGAACGCAAACTTGGCATATTTTCATCTAAGTAAAAGCAAATTTTTTTCCTTTTTCCAAAAATTGAATCGTGTCCCAAACTTTAATAAATGGCGCCTCCCTTCAACTCGGTGACGAATCTTTTCACCACGAAGACAAAGTAGGTTTGCACTGCGAGGAAAATCCCGCCCATCGCCAGCATGATAAATCCCGCGGCGACCGCTCCAGCGACGGCGAGCAGTATGAACAAGATCACAATCGAGACAGCAACGATGCAAAGGGACACATAGTTCCAGATCAACCATGGCATGATGAGGCGGTGGTTTCGCTAAAAATAAGGTCAATAGGGGTATTCATTTTGAGTTCTCGTGTTTCCATCGCAACATAACTTTGCGAACTAACTACTAGCCTTGGAGATGCGCATATTCGCAATCGCAAATGAATTGTCAAGCAAAAATTTCTTCATTCTTTTTCCCAAACGTTGCTATCTAACCAAGCGAACTCGTAATGCATACCCTCAGTATTTTTATTCTTCTTATATGCGAGCTCGCATCGCAACATAATTTTTTATAAATTGCAAATTATCCGAAGCAACAAAGTGAAGACACTTCGCAAATAACAATATTCGGAAAATTCGGTTTAAATGTGTCAAATTTTGCAATAGGAAAAATTCACATTTCCATCAGTTACTACAGTTTAGCTTCTGAAAGCTAAGAAATACTAAATTTTAAAAATGCAAAAGGCCAAACCTCGGTAAGTAGTAGAGATTTATGGACTTCTTCCATTGTAAAATTCGTGAAAAATATTTTGCGATCTAGATACATACATATGTATGTACTAGCCCTTAAGATATATAGGCAAGTTCGCAAATCAAGTTTCATGCCAAATGTTTTTTTTTGCGAACTTAAGAACTTTATTACTTTACGAACGTGGCTAACGATGCGAACGCGAAAATGATACCCCAAATACATATACCTTATCTAATTTTATAAAATATAATATTGCGAATAAAAGTATACCTAAAAATATTATAATTTTTATTGACAACAATTTCCTCCAAAACATAAACCTTACCATGCGATACCCTTGCACCATGAGGCATGCGAAGATGAAGTACACGATCGCCATGAAGATCTCAATGCACTCGACCGTGATGTAGCGACTGCCTGTTGAAATTAATTGGTTTATGATATTTACATATTTTATCACAGGTGGATGGGGTGAAATTCTACGCAGTTAGATATCTGGGATAGCAGCTATTGATTTTTCGGTGTTAAAATTGCTACCACTAGGTATTAAATTTATACCGGCCCGTAAAAATTTGCTGCCGATATGGTAAACTTTTATACATAACTTTAACTAAACTTGACTACTGATCTTGGGTAGATTCATGTAATAAATACGGCTTGGTATTATTTTAATACTGGATTTCTTAGAGTGGAAAAGCTGACATATACATATATACATATAAATAAATATGAATAACTATTCGTACGATTTTGCTGAAAGTCAGCCTCCTTGATTTGGTCGGGATAGTAGACCATGATGTTGACCTCAATGGAATCCCGGATAATGGAGAGGATGCCCCCGATCTGAAATATTATTTATGTAAATTCCATATAAAATCCGTTCAAAAGTAGAATTTTTATTTTGGAAACTAGTTTATCTTTCCTATATTAAATTTTACATTTTAAGCCTTACACATGCCCATTTTTTAGTTTTAAAGTATTTACACAAATCTCTCGCAATAAATTCTGGCAATAATTTTGTAATACAAACGCTTACAATATTTAGAATTCCAATGATAAGTGTCCCCTGTCCCACCGTGCAGCACCCGCAGCAACAAGTTTCCGACATTTTTTGTATTTTTCCTAATTAGATTAGTTTTGGGATTTTAACACCAGAAAACTGTTTGTTTTATAATGACGTTAGCGAGGAAAGTGGATCTATTTGCAGATTTTGGGGGCGTATTGACTGATTTATTTATGCAAAGCGAGCAGAGTGTGATTTTTTTGGCTTGGCTGGACGCAAACTAATAAAATTAAGGCTTTGTGAACTGGTTTTATTTTATTATGCAGCTCATAAGTAACTGGATAACGCGTATATATTTATAAATAATACAGATTGCACGACAGGAAGCAGCCTTGTCAGTGAACTGGACATATGAAGCCGGCGTCATTTGTGTAACTTAATAGTCCATTGCGAGGTACAGTTTTCGCAAATTCTTTAACGCAAGGGATGAGATAATGGTGGTGTCGAGTTATTTAGTAAGGGGCATGCATAAAGCATCCTTTGCAATGCATCTTTCAAAGTATTGAGATCTATGTATTTATGTTCACTATACCCATTGCATGAGTCAATTATACACTAATAAAATTCTAATTTTTACTTTTCGGTACAATTTTAATACCGAGCGGTAGAAATTTAAGTACTGAGAAATCAATACCTGCGTGTCTAAGTACATAGGTACATATACCACATTTCTAACAGTTTAGGTCACCCCGGCCAGGTGTCCAGATATATAAATCGCTCCCATCCTTTATGCAGGGTCCTTCATAGACGGGACGGTTAATTTAGGTCCGTCTCGTCATCTGATCGTCAGGGTGTTCATACAAGTAATCACTTTAAGAGTTACATAAAAGCCACAATAAATACATATGTGTATATATGTACATATGAGTCCTCATTTTCAAGCTAGTCTAAGAATAAGAACACATTTAATAAGCAGTAGAGACGAATTTATTGTTCATACATAAATACGTGCGAGATAAATATTATTTACTTACATACATATGTACGTGATGATAACGTGGGAAATTACAGATTACTGGAGCCAAGCTGGAATTTTTAGGTAGATAAGCAAAGAAGTTTTATGGCAATGTGAGAAGCTCTTTATTTCTCAAAGAACGCTTGGCCATTATCTAATGACGATGTTTAATAAATGAGATAATTTTATGAGCATATTTAGTGTAAATTCAGTTAATATTTATAACATACATGCTTGTATGCACTTGTTTATTCAGTGTTTAGTCTTTACGTTGGGCTTGATACATATGTGATTAAAATTTTGGGTAAATCATAGAAAAAATTTTATGACTTTTCAATTCAGACTTTGATCAATTTTACTTTTTGTTACAATTCAAGCAAACTTCAGTGTGTATGCATGTATCTAATTAAAACCAGTACTCAGGAAAGTATCTAAATTTAGATGATTACTTACGTACAATTGACAGGTAGGAATTCCGGAGCCAATATTTCAAAAGTATGTAAACACCCAGGATTTTGATTATTTTTAAACGAGGATATCTAAAGTTTCAGAAGCTTTCAGATAAATTCTGACATGATTTTCAGTTTGTCGATGTCGATTCAGTCGACTCGATTGTGCTTTGTATGGAGAAGAACAGCTATAAATTTATTCAAAAGTTGGCAAGTCAACCAACATTATTTTTCAATTAACATTCACCCCTCACGCTTGCTTTAAACTGTGGACATTAAAAAAATACATATGTACATGTATTACAAACAGTTGACAAAATAATATCGAAATCAAAATTAGCATATTAGATTACTTAAAGAAATGATCTTGTAAGTAAGCATTTTACTTCTCCAATCTTATGTCCCTAACTTTAATAAATCGCGCCTCCTTTCAACCTGTCGACGAATCTTTTGACCAATTAATTAACATGCTCTCTGACGTGGATTAAAATTATACAATTTTTTGGATTAAGTTACATAAAATAGTTATCTATAATTTTTATTATCAAATAGTTGACAAAAAAGTAGGGAAGCAAACTTATCATATTTTCATAAATAGGTAAAAATCGAATTAGTTTTTCGACAAGAATTTTACCCAAAATTGTGTCCGAAACCTTAATAAATCCCGCCTCCCTTCAGCTCGTCGACGAATCTTCTCACCACAAAGACAAAGTAGGTCTGCACTGCCAGGAAAAGTCCGCCCAAAGTGAGCATAGCAAAACCCACGCCGAATTCTCCGGCGGCGGCGACGACTAAGGACGTGAGCATAACCACGACAGCCCCAACGCCAAGGGACACATAGCTCCAGACCAGCCATGGTTTGATGAGACGGTGATTTCGCTAAAAATAGGAACAATATTTTATTAAAAGCGCACTAATTTTTCAGAAATATATTTACAGTTTATACACTCTTAAAAATAAAGTTACCCTTTTGAAAAGTAAATGCACTCTGAATTCGGTTTTAGAAAACTGTATTAAATACAGGAAGGAGGAAGCTTTACTTTTTATCAAGGTAACGCTACTCTGAATTTGTTATAATTTAATAAATATGGAATTCAGAGTGCATTTACTTTTCAAAAGGGTAACATAATTTATTTCTAAGAGTGTTAGAAATCTGGTACTTTCTCGAAGGTGTTAATTTCTCAGTATTAAAGTTTTTATCACTCGGTATTAAAATTTTCCCGGTCGTTAAAAAATTGGTACCGATATGGAAGAACTTTAATATCGAGGTATAACTACTTATCACTACAACTTTGATAGTGGCATACATGAATATAGTTTGGTATTATTTTAACACTGGATTTCTAAGGGTGCAGCTCACCACGCGGTATCCATGGACCATAACGCATGCCAAGATGAAGAACACGATCGCCATGAAGATCTGGATGCAACCGATCGTGATGTAGCGGCTTTCTGAAGAAATTAATTTGTTTGTGGTACATACACATTTGCATATTTAAATTCTAGTATACATACATATTTATGATTGACTATGATGAATTTTAAAATGTGACAAATTGAATAAATGTACGTACCGTGTTGGTGAAAGTCAGAATCCTGAAATCTGTCCGGATCGTTGATCATCAAGTAGACTCCAATGGAATTCTGCACGACGGAGAGGATGCCTCCAATCTGAAATTATATAATTTTGCGTAAAATCCAGTCGAGAGCACAATCTTCGAATTTGTATTACATTGTTTTACTTAATTTCATTAAAAAATATACACGTTTTTTAATTTAAATTCTGGTAATAATTTTATACGTAATAAACACGAACACTTACAATATTGAGAATACCAATGGTAAGCGTTCCCTGTCCCACCGTGCAGCATCCGAAACAACAAGTTTCCGACATTTCTATATTTCCGAATTAAATTAGTCTCAGATTTTTAATCAGAAAACGGTATGAATAATGATGTTAGTGGGGAAAGTGAGAAGAATTTCGGCTAATTTTTTTGACTTATGGAGTGATTTATTTAAAGCCAGGGGCGATCTTCTTTCGTGTATCTCGGCTGGACGCAAAGTAATAAATTTGTTTGTGTGGGACATCGTTTTGTCTTATTTTTCAGTTCCTAATGAGAGATATGTATGTACAAATGATAAGTCACCAAAGAAACAGGCGTGGGAGTGAAGATTGACAAGCTTCATCTAATTAAGTAAATATGTAGTACATTACGGGAATGTACATATGTACAAACAAGCACTCTTAGAAAACCGGTATTAAATCATAACCGATGGGAGTGCGCCCATATATAACTCTACCGGCTGTGGTGACAACAGGCGTTACCATTTGGAAATGCAAACTTACCATTCACAAACAGACCACCACCAATCCGGTTGGAAGTTGTTACCAAATCAATTCCAGTCCGGAGTATGTATATAAATAAATATGTCAGATTTTTAGCAGTATAAATATATACAGTTTTTCTTTGAAAAAGTGACATAACGCTTGTCTCAAATTAGTAAGGGCTGTGCATTAAGCATGATTAAGCATGGTTGAGTAACAATGCATGACACAACCAAAACGTGTGCAAAATTTGTCAAAAGAGTGGATAAATTTTGCACAATGTTGGACAATTTTGCATTTTGGTTATGTCATTCTCTTTTTACGCAACCTCCAGGAAATTTTACTTGTTTTTATTTAGAGTGTAAATATGTCATAGGATCATATCACAAGTCTCCAGCTGTGTACATTCATAAATTCCTGCCATCTTGTTTTCAGGGTCCACATACATATGTAAATATGTGACGGTATTTATTTTGATGTTCCTGGTCAGTGCTTGTCCCCTTATCGTTAATACATAAATTACTTTTACGTATGTACGTATGAGTCACCATGAACTTTGGAGTAGGAATATGGAATAGAGACTAGTTTCTTGTGCATATTAAATGAATATCATTTACGTGCATATGTACATATGTAGGCATGAAGGTTTAGTTGAAACGGAGACCGCATTAAATTACAGATTACTGGAGCCAAGCTGGAATTCTTAGATAAGCGAAGAGATGTTATGGCAATGTGAGAAGCTATGTACTTATTTCTCGAAGAACGTTTATTTATTTCTTCTGAGAAATCTGGTGACTCTGTTTAATAAATCGGTTAATTTTGTGAGTATGATGTAAATTTATTCAAAAGCTTTCAAGATAATAAATATATTTTTTCATTTAACACGCACTGTAACGTCGATTTGAACTGAATACAAGATTTCTGAAATGTGGTACACATTTGTGTATGATTTTTATACAAATTTTGAATACAAATTTTTACAGATAAATATCGAAAGCAAATTTAGCATATTTTCATAATTAAAAAATTGTGTCCCACACTTTAACAAATCGCGCCTCCCTTCAACTCGTCGACGAATCTTTTCACCACGAGGACAAAGTAAGTCTGCACTGCCAGGATTAACCCACCCATAGCGAGTATAGCGAAACCCACGCCGATTTGTCCAGCGATGGCGATCATGATGGACACGACCACAATCCCGACAGCTCCGATGACAAGGGACACATAGCTCCAGATCAGCCATGGCATGATGAGGCGGTGATTTCGCTGAAAATAAGATCACAGTTTTTATTAAAAGTGCACTAATTTTGCGTATTTACCCTCAGTGGGGAAGAAAAGCATGAGTGAGATTTGACGGGTGCATTGATGTGGCGGTCGCGTAGTATAAAGGTATTACGTCCGGGATCAATCTGGGAGATGCTCCTTTCGAGTGGAGCCGGGGTCGCCTTATTTTTGCACAATACCGTTATTTCTCATTCCTACACCTCTTAAAATTAATGTAGCCCTATCGAGAGTTTTAATTATAAATTAAGTTAACTATTTAAAGAGTAAACTTTACCCTTGGGCAAGTTAACGCGACTCTGGATTGGGTACAGTTTACCTAATTTAGAACTCAGAGTGCATTCACTTTGAAAAGGGGCGCATAATTTTTAAGAGTGTTAGAAATTTGGTATATTCATGGAGGTATATGTATACCTGTATTAAAGTTTCTCCAGCTTGGTATTAAAATTATACCTGTTCGTAAAGTTTACTACTGATATTGTAGGAGTTTAATACGGATCTACGTACATATGATTTTTAGCTACATTTATACATTAAAATCTTGATTTCCTAAAAGCTGGAGATATAAACCTGTTTCAAAATTTCCATTTAAATACATGGCAGAAGGGAAGGTTGCGACGCACAAATTCAAATTCAAAACGCGCATACAAGTGAAATGCCACCCTGACACTGGATTTCTTAGAGTGAAGCTTATTTACCATACGATATCCATGGACCATGAGGCAAGCCAAGATGAAGAACACGATCGCCATGAAGATCTGGATGCAACCGATCGTGATGTAGCGGCTGGCTGTAGAAATTAATTTGTTTGTGGTATTTACATATATATTTAGATATGCAAATTTTGTTGCATTTTTAAATGGAATATTGTTTAGATTATTTAATATGCGTACGATGTTGTTGAAAGTCAGGATCCTTAAATTCGTCAGGATTGTTGATCATCAAGTGGACCGCAATGGAATTCTGGGCAATGGAGAACACGCCTCCGATCTGAAATTATGTTATTCTGCATAAAATCCGTAAATTCTGTGTAAAACCTAAAGCCTAATTTTCACATTTTTATTTCACTTACAATCTTACTTTAGTCAAGTGCAATCTTACTAATCAATAAGCGTCTGCTTAATTGTGGGAATATTTGTGCAATAAATACAAACTCTTACAATATTGAGAATTCCGATCGTAAGCGTTCCCTGGCCCACCGTGCAGCACCCGCAGCAACAAGTTTGCGACATTTTTTTCCAAAATTAAATTACTCCCGGAGTTTTAGTCAGAAAACTGAAGAAATAATAATGGTATTGGTGAGGACGCTGGAAATAATGTGTGCTGATTTTGGGGGCGTATGTATAAACTTCGATTTATTTAAAGCGAGTAGTGGTCCTCTTTCTTGTAGCTTGGCTGGACTCAGACTAATAAAACTGAGTCTTTGCGAAATCGTTTTATTTATGATAATGTTCTCCAGTTCCTCACTGGAGAATACGAATCTATAAATAATATTTATATACGTCAGGAAACAGCCGTGTGAGCGAATTTGACACATGACGCCGTCATCTAATCCATTGCGAGCCACGGTTTTGGCGAATCGTTTGACTACAAGGAGGATGTGATAATGGACGTATTTATCAAGTTTGTAAGGGCCGTGCATAGGGCATGAGCGGCATCTTTGGAGGTTTTGAGATCGCACTCTGAGAAATTCAGTGTTAAAATTGTAAAAAGTGGTATTCATATTAAAACTCTACCAAACTGGTACTGATAAGTAATACGATGTAGTAATAGGTTGGTATTAAACTTTTACCATAACGGAGGTAGAAACATTAGTACCTAAAAATCAATGTCTTTCTCACCATATCAGATTTTCAACAGTGTACATACATATGTTACCCATGGCATCATGTCTTAATTATGTACATACACAAATCATACACTCGTTCTGTCCTATCCTACACCCCAAACTACATACTACCAATCCGGTAGGAAATTATTACCGAATCAATACCGGTGTGAAATACATACATATATGTAAATATGTGACTTTACCGGATTTTAACATTGTACGTCTCACCACGACCAGGTCCCCAGACACCTAAATCGCTCCCAGCCTTTATGCATGGTCCCACCCCTCGAATAAGAAACTGTTTGTTTCAACTCCCCGTCTTATCGATAATTATTAAGCACAACATGAGTGAGTAAGCACTTTTATGAAGATGAACTTTGCATTGCGAATATGTAAGAAGTGAAGAGTAATTTCTTGTACAAGCATATGTATGTATATACGCGTTAGATGAATATTACTTACGTAGGTCCATGAAGATTTGGTGACCGCATTGAATTACATCTTACTGGAGCCAAACCCACATCCGTAGATAAATAAGGGAAGACGATTCATGTAACAATGAGAAGCATTTTCTTCCTCGAAGAACGTTTCGTACTCTTTTTTTCTTCTGAGAAATCTGATGACTCTGTTCAAGTCGTAATAATTCTAATAAGTTTGCAAGTATACAGTAAATTCAGTGAATACGCATTTGCGTAAAGACTTCTATGAATTTGTATGGATATGGATATGAATATTTCTATTTATGTATTTGGTAAAACCCTATGCTTAACTTTATTATAAAGTTATAACGGGGTGACTGCCGGGGAGATTGCAGAATTTTCATGTTGTTTCAGTGGTGTTTGAATATTTTCCATAATTCTTAACTACTACTAAAGAAAATACAGTATTTAGTAAAAACTTACATTTGGCTTATTAAGTATGTGAATACATAGATACAGTTAACTGGTACATTTAACTGCAGCAAAAAGATATATCTAGCTAAATATTTAAACATTTTACTAATAATTTTAACAAATAAATCATATTCATAGCCTGAATTACCTGACATGTATATATCTACATAAATATGTCTGTAGTGTACACACGAAGAGATTAAACGGGTCAGGCCCGAGCCTAAGAGTTTCTAAAAAATCCGATCTATTTTGCGTCGAAATTTTTTGTCACAAATTTTAAAATAAGTCTGGCGCAAATTGTACTACGACAATGTCATTTTGATGAACATGTTACAAAACAACGGTTTTATTAAAGCTATCGCCATGGTTGTGTCAGCAATAACTGACCATGCTTAGCAGCATTAATTATTTTCACAAGATCAGCTAATCCGAATATCTGACTGGTGAAATCATTTATAATTTAATCAAAATCGGTGGCGTCTGATACCCCTCTTTTAATTTAAATCACGTCCAGAACCTCTGTCCATTGTAGTTCTTAGATAATTTTTGATAATTTTGCTTTCATTTGACACAAAGGAACAAAGTGAGAAAAATATGTAATGCTGTCTCGTAGTTTTTTTAAGTAGAGGTCAAACCGTTTAAGACGGAGTATTTCTAGCGGTCCGAATGTGCTGATTTTGGCGAAGAGTCCTACGTTCAATGGAATCGATGACTAGACGCATCGGAAGGGACCAACCAATAAATAAGTAGATAAACATACAAACACGTAAAATATATCAAAGGGCGAGGCGCTGGATTTGTAAATACTTCTTAAAAATTTGGTGCCAAATATAATAAAAAATTTGTCAAACATTTGACCTTGTAATAATCTGGTCAATTCGGATAAAAATTTAGAAATTGGCTCTATATCCCTGACTCGGACTAAATGAAGTCTGCACTCTAGGTTCTTAAATATGACACTGATAAGATTTGGATAAGTTAACTATTTAAAAAATGTATGCATTCATCATGGGAAGGTTTTAGGTTGGAGGCGATTGGCCTAGGAGGCGATTGAGTGGGAAGGAGATTGGGTGGGAGGCCATTGGTAAGGGAGGCTAATTTCCTCAGGAGGCTATTGGTTGGAGGCCATTTGTATTGGGGGCTACAGATAATTTCCTTAGGAGGCCATTGGTGGGAGGCGATTTTCCGCAATTATATTTTCGGTGTTTGATAAGAGTGCCTTTTTCCCGCTGCCCTGGTAAATTTGGTTTTTACCAATCGAAACCCTGAGGATTACTTTGCGTGACGCAAGCTGAGTAAATACATATACGTATATGTACGTATATGTATCCAAATGTAAGTAATTGATACATGTATCAATTACTTACATTTGGATCTGTAAAATTTCCCTGAAACAGTAATAACTATATAAATAATAATTAAGCCCCACATAATGGTAAAACGTAGAAAAAAACTATTAATTTGTAGCTTCCAGGAAGAGTTTCGTTCCAAGTAATATATCCCCAATTTATTACGGGGATAAACTTAATGAAGATAAAAGGAGGAATAAAACTTTCCAATTTAGAGCATTAGAATGCCGCACAGTGTGCAAATTTATTAATTTATTCCTCCTTTCGCAGTAATCGTATTAAATAATGTCCCAATTAAGTTTAATTTGTCTTTGTGTGAAACTAATTCCATTGATACTTAAAATTAATCCTCACAGTGATAGGAAATTCTTAATCTGTCGGAACTATTGTCTGATTAGCAAATACTGTTTAATTTGCGTCACACGTTTAAAAAAGTCAGTAATATATAAGGTAATCGGTCCGGAGGAAAATCATCACTTGGTAACTTTTTAGCTAAAATTTGAGGAAATTACACATTTTAAATAACGAAATGACGTTCTATCCTACTTGGCACATCTTGATTGCAATCGGGACCATCCTGTCCGCTGTAGTGGAAACTGAGGCAACCATAAGTCTCCTATACGAAGGCCACACCGGGGTTAATTTTACAGGTGTGAATTTCTAAATTTGTTTTTGAAATCATTTCAAAACCGGGTGTCAAATTTAACGACATTTCAGTCGTCACCTCAAAATGCGCCACCTCATTTTTCCCACGCCCTTTATTTTTTACACAAAAAGGGGAGATTACTTAACTAATTTTGAATCGTAAATAGGAGGTTATGCCCACACCTCCGTGTCAACTGAGGACCCAACCGGTTGTGTTGGTCTTCATCGCTTCGTGGACTTGCAGATGGTCTCTTTCAACACGTTCAATCAGTGTTTGGTCCTCTATTCTGAGCTAAAATGTCAAGGAGAGTCTCGTGTATTTAGGGGAATCTATTTTGACCTGGGTAAGATTGGGTGGGCAAATAAGGCGAGGTCTATTGCCCCCTTGCCTCCTGACATGACTTGTCTTTGGGAATTAATCGTCTAAAGCAATTAATTGTGCGAATTGGGCCAGTTTGTTGTAGTAAATTTTTTTTGAATGATTGTTTATTTATATTGGGAACAATGAAACGACGGAAATAAATGGTGTATGCAAATAATGTAGTGTAAAATACTTGTTATTTTGGTAGCTTCGATTGTTCTATGTACATATGTCTATATGCATGCACGAACTTAATGACATTCGACACGATATAAATCACCGCGCTTTAAAAATCGCTTGATCTTCATATGTAAATACTACACATATTTATGTATGTACCGTAAATACTCTATTTATAGGCGGGGCTAAATTCCAAAACCGGGCGTCATAGATCCTGCTATAATTAGAGACCCGGCTAAATTTTGTTCCGCCATCATTTTAGATATTATAAAAGTAGGTATAAATAATGTTAACTCTATTTGAGTTTTCTTATTTAGCAAGATATGTCCTCTATTTTCAACTCACTTTAAATCTACGTCTTTAAACGAGGTTTACTAGTCGGTTTAACTTTTTTTGTCATGATTATATGCATTCTTGTTAAACTGAAATTGAATGTTTTTGCAAATTTTGACCTTATTCATCGAACCGAATGTGCAGCATTTTGCCTGGATGGCCTATGGACTAGGGGCCATATATATATTACGTCCTCAAAAATTCTCGATTTTGTCACCCATCCACCCAACATATATATTAAGGGATAGGGAATTTAAACATTGGAAAGATAGGAAGACCTATGTAAAGCACCCACCCGCCAAAATGATGACGTAATATATGGACATTATCGTATCGGAATTAACTTAAAAGTTATCGACGATAAATTTATAAAGCAATTTGTTTTCAATCAGGAACAATCTACACGTCAGGTTTTGACAATTTTTGAAGGGGAAGATCTCAAGTTTAAGAAGCCTTCAAAAAAATAAAATTTAGATCTTGCTATGATTTTCAATTGTGCTTCACCTGATGGATAATAGCGGTAAATTTATTCAAAAGCTTGCAACATAATAATTTGTTAATTATCTATGTCCTCTCACACCGATTTAAACTTTATGTATACAAGATGTTAAAAATATAGTCTTATTAAATATTTTTAATTTTATAGTACATATCAAACAGCCTGCAAAATAATATCGAAAGCAAATTTAGCATACATATTTTCGTAAGAAGAAAACGAAGTTTTTTTACTACAAGCATTTTACTTCCAAAATATTAACTTTAATCAACAGCGCTTCCCTTCAACTCGTCGATAAATCTTTTCACCACGAGGACAAAGTAAGTCTGCATTGCCAGGAAAATCCGGCCCACAGCGAGCATAGCGAAACCCACGCCGACTTGTCCAGCGACAGCGATCAGTACAGAAGTGACCAGAATCGCGACAGTACCGATACCAAGGGACACATAGCTCCAGATCAACCACGGAATGATGAGGCGCGGATTTCGCTGAAAATGAGATTAATGAGGGTATTCATTATTTCTTCGAGCAAAAACCAGGGTTTTAGCTTCATTAAAATCGTAACCTAAGTAGAACGATTGTAAAGGTTCGTATCCGTCGTAACTTATTTTATGATACGAAAAATACTAACAATACTTACGAAGGAATCATACATAAATACTAGAGGTGAGTCGGGCCCAACATTTTGAAAACCCGACCCGCCCGAACCCGATCGGCGGGTGAGCAATTCGGTTTCAACCCGGTTGGCCCATTACCCGACTCATCTCTAATGAATACCTTCAATATTTTTATTAAAAGTGCACTAATTTTAGAGAAATATAGTTACACGCTGTTAGAAATGGATTTGTTGAATTCCCGGTATTAAAATTGATGCCCTTAGTGCTAAATTATAGAGGTCTGTAAACAAATTGCTACCGTTGTATGGTTAAACCTACACGGAATTACTTATCAATACCACCTTGGTTGAGTAACACATTACTACCGCTTGGTATTATTTTACCCCTAGATTTTTAAGAGTGTAGCTTACCACGCGATATCCATGGATCATGAGGCATGCCAAGATTACGAATACGATCGCCATGAAGATCTGGATGCAACCGATCGTGATGAAGCGAATTGCTGTAAAAAAATTAATTTATATGTGGTACATATTTGCATACATATGCAAATGGTGGTGCATTTAAAAATGGGATATTGTTCAATATACGCACGATGTTGGTGAAAGCCAGGATTTATAAATTGGTCGGGATAGTTGATCATCAAATTTAACCCGATGGAATTATGGACAACGGAGAGGACGCCGCCGATCTGAAATTAGATAATTAATTCTGCGTAAAATCCCGGTATATTTACATAATCCTCACTTTTTATTTCGGGCAACAATTAAAATTGCACATGTGCAATTTTATTAGTTCGATAAGAAATAAATCTCCTCTTGCGAATACTACACTGTTAAAAACCTGGCGGAGTGTGAAAAATCTGGTATTAATTTGGTAATAACTCCTTCCCGGATTGGTAGTAAATAAGTTTTTTTTTGAGTGGTACATTTTTCACTATAACTTTGCGAATGCCGGTTATTACCGTGCCCATAAAATCATACCTCCAGACAGTAATGATTCAATACCATTTTTTAAGAGTAGAATTGTGACAAAAATTGTACGTATAATCACCACAAACACTTACAATATGGAGAATACCAATGGCGAGCGTTCCCTGGCCCACCGTGCAGCGCCCGCAACAACAAGTTTCCGAAATTTCCGTTGTTTCCGACATTTTTATTTTTCCCACCTATTTAAATTATTCTCGGAATTTTAACCTGAAAACTTAAAAAGTACTGGTGTTGGTGAGAAAAACGGAAAGAATTTTGTGAGGGTAAGGACTGGTTTATTTAAAGCGAGCAGACTGCTTCTTGGCTACACCCAGACTAATAAAGTCTTTGCGAAATCGTTTTATTTTATGATCATGGTTTTTAGTTCTGCACTGGAGAACATTTACATACGTACGTATAAATAATATGTGCATGTGTACGGCAGGCAACGAATTTGCATATGAAAAACCTCGTCAAATCCATGGCGAGGTACGGGTTTTGCGAATCCTTTGCCTCAACAAAGGATGAGGAGGTTAGGTAGTAAAGGCCATGCATAAAGGATGGACTGAATTTTTGGAGGGGTTGAGGTTTAGGATTCCTAAATTAAGAACACTCTTTGAAATCCAGTATTAAACTAGTAACAAGTGGTATTCAAAATGATGTTGGTGTAATACCGTGTAGTAATAGCTCGGCATTGACCTTTTACCGTTTTGGTATCAAGTTTTTGGGGATAATTCTAATACCAATCGGTAGCAACTTTAATACCGAGAAACTAATGCCTACTAGAATATACGAAGTTTATAAGAGTGTATTTACAAACACTTGTATGTAGGTCTGATCTCCCCGGAAAGGTTTCCATATATATAAATCTCTGCCATCCTTCATGCACGGTCCCTTACGTACGGAATGCTTTGTCTAGTCTCATCTTGTCCTTCATGAATAATGCAAAGCAAAAATTGCGATTTTCTAGACCCCCTCCCCCTGTCATGTGTGTCACAGGGGCACGATGTCAATGGAATTTCCCCCCTCCCGCGTTCCATGAATTTATGAAAGGCCCTATATCATGAGAAGTATTGACTACTACGAATAAGCACTTTCGTACAGTGACGGTGGAAGTTGTGGGGTCAAAGGGGGGAGATTTCGGGGAGGAATAACATGAGCAAGATACGGTTTTGCTGAGATTTTCTGGGACCACAATGTCCCCCTACTTCCGCCGCCAATGGTTTCATGAAAATGATTTCTGCAGTACGAATATGTAACAAGTCGAAAGTGATTCACACTTGCCTTCGTATCCTTACATAAATAGTCTCGTAAAATTATTCATGAGGAAAAATCGGTTGAGTGGGTCGCCTATCTCACCCGAACATCAGTTGGATAAGGAAGGATGGTGTGTGGTCTAAAAATTGGCGTTGTTTCTATGTCATAATATATGTAGGTTCCCTACCCTCTGCCCTGCAAAATCTCTTATCGGTCGTAACTTATTTTACGATACAAAACCACCAAGGAGTGGCGAAGACCCTCCATAATTTCTTGTATGCAAGTGTGAGATGAATACAAATTACTGACGTTCATTAAGATCTAGTGGGAACGGTGACCGCATTACTGGAATCAAATTGGCATTCTTACACTTAGAGATTTTCCAACAAGATTTTATGGCAATTTGAGAAACTCTGCTCTTTATTTAAGTATTTTCTGGAAGGAGGTTTTATAGTCAACTTCTGTTGCGAAAAATTGTAAAAATAATTTAATAGTTAAGTAGGTATATATGACAATTTAGTGAATATTTATACGCGTGTATGCATTTTTATAGATGTATGTATGTATTTACGTAAGTATATATGTATTTTCATATGTATATCTACTTACATACAGGGTGGTTTAAATGTCACACTACAATGAAAAGTTTTTCAATGGAAAAAAACCCCTAAATCTCCATTAGTTACAAAAGTTTGGATTGAGATTCTTATAATTATTATAAAAACTGATGGAACACTGATGACGAAGTTCTTAAAATGTTGAATTTTAGAGACAAAATTTATGTAACTAATGGAAATTTACGAATTTTTTCCACGGAAAAATTTTCCATTGTAGCGTGACATTTTAACCACCCTGTGCATACATATGGTACGTACATATGCCTCATTTTATTAAACAGAAGTAATAACCGTGACTGATACGAAGTGTCGAGATTGCAGTATTTTCACGATATTTATACATATATGTATGGGATATACATATGTATTCCCAGTTGACTTTTAACTATTCAAAACAACTGCTATGAAGAATGAAGAATTTGTAAAAAAAAAATCGGAAAAAATAATTTTACCAAGTTGGTACTTGTTGAAAAGTATCAGCCGAATCATTGTTTCAAATTGCATTGTAAATGGGAGAAGGAATTTTCTTTCGAACATATATACATATTTACATTCGGTGGAACTGCTGATCATCCTCACCTAGTGCGCTCGGTTCCAATGGTCACCGAAAGGGGGACGGCCGACCAATACCAATCAAAATGGCATGAAATGTGCAGAAATATGTTATCAATCAGTCTATTCATCAAAAACTTGTAGAAAGTTATCTAGATGCATTTTATACGACATTAACATGGAGAAATTCATAAACGGGCTCGCAACTTCTGCTCATCCGCTTAAAGCAAATTCCATTTATTTTTAGATTTACCAACTTAATTTTACAATTAGTAGTTTGTGTGACCACCCTTGGCCATCAGGACTGCATTGACTCGATTTGGCATCGATTCCACTAATTTCGCTGTTGTTTCCTTCTGGATGTTGTTCCATTCTTCGTCCACAATTGAAATTAAATTTGTTCTGGAAGTCGGGTTCCTTTCAGCAACTTTTTTCTTCAAAATTGACCATAAATGTTCAATTGGATTTAAATCCGGGCTCTGTGGCGGCCATTTCATTACGTTTACCCGTTTTGTTTGCAGCCAATTCGTGACCAATTTGGACGTATGTTTGGGGTCCCCGTCTTGTTGGAAGACAAAATTCTTCCCTAGTCGCAGGCTGTTCCGAGATTTCATCAAATTTCGGTCCAAAATCCCTTGGTACACTTCTTTCGTCATAATTCCTTCAATTACTTCCATGGTTCCCACGCCTTTCCACGACATTGCACCCCAAACCATAATGGACCCCCCACCATGCTTCACGGTCTTCTTGGTACAGTTACTCTTGACTCGTTCTCCTGGTTTTCTCCAGACAAAAACTTTGCCATCTGATCCAAATATGTTTATTTTGGTTTCGTCACTCCAAAGAACTTTTTTCCAATCGGATACGGACCACGTGGAGTGACTCTTCGCCCAATCCAAACGCTTCTTAATTTGGGGCTTTGTCAGCAGTGGCTTTTTGGTTGCGACTCGGCCTTTAAACCCCATATTTCGGATCCGATTTCGAATAGTGGAATCAGAAATCTTCGTACCAAACTGCTGAGCCAATTCCACATTGATTTTTCGGGCAGATAAGAAGCGATTGGAATTTGCTTTCTTCTGGATAAGTCGGTCGACTCGAGGAGTGGTAACACGACGGCGGCTATTTCCCTTCAAATCAGTAATTGTATGGTATTTCTTCCATTTCGACAGCATGGATTTGATGGTGGGAATCTTCACTTTCGTCTTGTTGCTGATTGCTGTAGGTTTCAATCCTCTCTCGTGGCAACTTATCACCAATTTCCTAATGTCGTGCGACAAGTGTTTTCCAGGCATTTTCAGCTCTGAAAAACCAAAATGACAATGAATAAAATGGTCTTCATTACTTGAATTAATAGTAATCAAGATGCACTTACCCGCATAAAAAAATGATAAATCAAGAAAATTGTTTCCACTCGAAAATTGTGTTTTTGTTGTGGCGGATGAAGACTAGTTGCGAGCCCGCTTGTGTCTTACTCTATGCTCATTCCGTGTAAAATGAGTGCAGTTAACTTTTTGGAAGTTTTTGCTTAATTGACTGATTTAGTACATATTTCTGCACGTCTGATGCTTTTTTGACATATATTGGTCGGCTATGCCCCTTTCGGTGACCATTGGAACCGAGCGCACTAGGTGAGGATGATCAGCAGTTCCACTCAGTGTATGTAAACTGTGGAGAAAATTATGCAGAATATCATGTCGGGCCGTAAATCAGGCTGGAAGGAAGGTGTCTAAATCGGTGTACGCACGTGGATTCTGCTGAAATTTACCTCCATGACCATAATAATTATTTAGCTAAAGATACATGTGTACGTAGTTACATATTCAACTATTTATTTGATGCTGGGGGATTCAAGAATTTCGTTCTCATTACAAAATTACAATGGTTGATTGCATTTATTGGTTTAATTCTTAATCAAGTATTATAAGCATTTTCTATGTACATATGTGCATGTATTATGTAAATTCATAAAAAGCAGTGATTAGTTAAATAATTATCTTTCGTAGTTATTAAATCATTTCAATAAATTAAGAAAGTTACAGGAAGGTGCAATTTATAATTTGGCGATAAATGTATGCATCAAATAATCCTTAAATCTGTAATAAACATAATTAGGAAATACTTTCACCTGAATCAGGTGACCTGATTGGTTGTAAATTTATTACTGTTAGTTTCGTAAATAAGTGAACATATAAGCAAGTAAATAAAGTTTAGTCCTCATTACAGTTTAATAAACTTTAAAATGAAATGATGCAGAGATGCAAAGCAGATATCAATACATCAAATAATTTAAACCAGTTTAAATAACTAACTATGGTCGAGGCATTATAATTAAAGCCATTTTAAATACATTCACTGCTTACGTAAAAAATGGCTCTAATTTTAATACCTCGACCATAATTATTTCCACACTCAAACTATATTTTAATAAATAAATCGAAATTCAAAATTGTCATGAAATCTTTTCAAGTTATTTTTTGCCAAAATTTTGACAAGCTCTAATTAACCGCGCCTCTCTTCAATTCATCGACGAATCTTTTCACCACGAGGATAGAGCAGGTCTCCGCTGCGAGCAAAAGCCCGCCCACACCGAGGAAAAGAAATCCCCCCGCGACACTTCCAGCGACGACGGCAATGAAAAATATCACCAGAATGATAACAGCGGCACAGGCAAGGGTCGCATAGCTCCAGATCAACCAGGGCGTAATCCAGCGATGATTGCGCTATTTGCAAATAATTTTATTGGGATTAAATAACATTGGCAAAAATGCACATCAAAATTGCACGTTTAGTGTTTGCCCTGTAAAAGGGCACCGGCAAGGGTGACCAACTATGGTTTGTTTTTTTAAATAAGAGACTGCCATAAAAAGTATCTTATTTAAAAAATCAAACCATAAGTGGCGTTTATTTTCATATTTCTCTGACCTTGCATTTTCTTACCGTTTTTTTGTAACGGAATTCAAGAAATGACTAAAAAACTCAAGTACATATGTACATAACTTACCATACGATATCCATGAATCATGCAGCATGCCAGGACGAAGAGCACGGCCATTACAAAGATAGTTATGGAATCCACCGCGATGAAGAGGGCGACTGGAAATATAGAATAAATTTGGTAAGAATAAAAATACATAAATTGAACTGACTGGCTACAGAAATTTATTATTTGCATATGTACATGAATTACTATTGAATTTTAAAATGTGATACATTAAATGTGTAAATATGTATTCGTACCATTTCGCAGATACGCTGGATTCTTAACCTGGTCGGGATATGGACTGTCCGGTGAAATATAGTATCAAGGTTCCCCCTATTTTTTCAACCACTTAAAAACTAATTTTGGATAAATAAAAAAGCACAAAAATTAGCAAATTTGATAAGCTTTCTAAAGCTGAAAACAGAATTTGATTATCTCTATTGGTTAAAAAATGACGGCACAAAATTTAGAGGAAGTGGAAAAATTCGTTTGCCACTCGTGCGAAAAACTGATTTTTTCGGATCGAAGAAAGGCTCATGACCACCTCATTCTTCAAGGGATGGCCCGGACAAAATTAGTCATACACTACACATATCTAAGGATTGTAAAAATTCGAAATATAAAATTTCCACGTGTCCACCTGTCCGCCAGAACACCAAAACACTGACGAGAAACGTAAAAAAATCCTTTAGGGGCCACCCCAACATATCCCCTAGGGCTGCACCCAGAAAACTAAAAAATTCAAAAACCTATCTGCGCAAGATCAATGCCAATAAGATGGGCTTCAAAACTTGCAAACCAAAAACCACGGAAAAATACAATGAAGATAAAAAAGGAGGTGCTAAAGTAATTTGTTGAAAACTTGTTGAGAAAATGTTAAAATCGACTCCCAGAAGTTTGTCGTCCTGGATGATGAAAACTAGTGCCTCCTTGACCTCGTAGCGTTAATCCTGTAAAGGTCTACTCATGTACAAGTAAAAATGACGTTCGTTCGAAATATAAATTCAAAACCAAGCAAAATTTCCAATGAAATACATAAAATGGCCGGATATCGACAAAAATGGGAACGTCTCAAATCCATTCGCTTCCACCAGGAATATGAACTTTGACTTTATTTCAAAGAGTGTGCCATCAAGCGATAGACCCCCTCTATCAAAAACCAAGACGTTTTATTTTTACCGAACATGGGTACGTGCCACATTGCCAAAATATTGACCGGGTACCTCCGAAGGAAAAAAGTTGATTTCGTCGATAAAAAATACTGCGCTCCAAATGTACCTTAGTGTCGACCCATTGAAAGATTTTGGGAATAAATTAAGAAATAATACTCTCATGAAGAAAGGACACGAAAAAATTTCGAAAAATTTCGGCAGGTTATAGAGAAATTCATCATTAACATTGGTGAAACGAGTGGCAAAGTGCTCATGAGAGGTCCTCGATAAAGTATTCTCTCCACCGGTACGGAAGGGGTATCTGAACCACTGAAGGGTTGAAAAACTTTGGTATACAAAAGGCGAATTATGACGCTTTAAACGAATTCCCGCTTGAATATCTCTCGTGCAAATTCGAATTTTGAGCTGATTTTCGTAGGCAAGCAAGATAATATCCTCATAAACAAGTCTCCAAAGTTTTATTTGGATAGCTTAAAAAATGTCCCCTGCAGGGCCCTCAGAGTTGGGGGTGCTGTAAAATAACTTTCCAAACTGCTGTTCTAATAAAATGGTGTCGAACGAAAGATTTTTTTCTGAGGTCCTAGTGCAGAAATTATTTTTGTGACTATTACCAAACGACTTAGCATGCTTTTCACTATATAAAACCACTTTTGTATCATGCTTATCTTTTAAGTCCCTTTTGTAGTCTAGCTTCATACTTGTCCTAATAGAATGCGCTCGCGCACGCTACTCGTTCACTTCTAAGGCCCCCACATTTTACGGCTTAGATGCTAAAAATCCCAAACGTTGTTTTTGTCCAAGATACAAATTGTATGTTGCACTGTAAGTACTTTTGACAAAATTTTGATAAGTGGTTACACCCCTAGAAATCAGTTCTTACCAAATCCCGTCAGTTTTGTAAAAAGGTTCTCCTCAAAATCTAAGCGGAACTTTAAATTTTTTTAACTAATCAAAATGCAGTGATTTTATTATTTTGCCACTTGTCGCTTGTAGATAAAATAGTTCTGCGACAGAGGACACAAAAACGTTATCAAAATCTATTTTCAACAAAATTTGACCATTCATTTTCCAAACAAGTTCACGAGTTTTTTCAGATTCCGCGTCAGCTGATTAGCTCGGGTCAAAATGTTCACTGCTTAATTTAATATTTCTTAGGACACTTCCAGCTTTACTCTCATTCTTCATTTAACCCAGGGGGTCCGTTTTCAAGGTCAGCAGGTCAATTTTCCCAAGCAAGCTCGGATTGCTCGCTTTTTGGGGCGAATTATCAGCGATGTTGGAGGGCCCACATTATTTGATTCATTACGGATTCTTACATTATTCAATACAAAAATTATCTGGGGTTATAATAATAACAATTTTTCACCTCTGACCTCTTTGGTTATTACGCCACATGAATAATTAAGTTTGGAAAGTGTTTTTACAGCACCCTCCAACTCTGAGGGCCCTGCAGGGGACATTTTTTAAGCTATCCAAATAAAACTTTGCAGACTTGTTTATGAGGATATTATCTTGCCTGCCTACGAAAATCAGCTCAAAATTCGAATTTGCACCAGAGATATTCAAGCGGGAATTCGTTTAAAGCGTCATAATTCGCCTTTTGTATTCATCGTTCGTATTCCACCAAAGTTTCGTTAGATTTGATTCATGCATTCATTTACTCTAGGTAAAAATAGCTTGACACTTAACTTCACCGGACAGTCCATAGTTGATCAACAAATTGACCTCGATGGAATTTTCGATCACGGAAAAGACGCTTCCGATCTAAAATTATTTAATGCTGCGTAAAATTCCGTCGAGAGTAAAATCTTCACATTTTTATTTCGGATTAAAGTTTCTTTAATTTAATTTTAATACATAAATTGGTAATAAGTAGGAACGCTTACAATATCGAGAATTCCAATGATGAGCGTTCCCGTTCCCACCGTGCACCATCTGAAACAATAAGTTTCCGGCATTTTTTATCCGAATTGAATTATTCTAAAGTTTTGTCCAGAAAACTGAAAATATAATGATGTTGGAGAGGAAAGTGGGAAGAATCCGTGTTCCGACTTTGAGGGCGTGTCGACTGCTTTTCAGAGTGCCTCCTTCTTGTGGCTTGGCTGGACGAACGGTGATGAATTTGCTTCTGTGCGGAAACGTTTTGTCTTATTCTCCAGTTTATAACTGAAGAATACGTATGTATTTATAATTATACGTAATCAGTCGCCGCGGAAGCCGTGGGGACATCTGGGGACGTTACGATTGTAGAATAGGGAAGGGAGGGGTTGATACAACAAGGGGAGATGATGGGGACTAAGAATAACCATGGGGACATTGCATGGGGACATTCCCACTGTCCCCACACTTATGTGGCCACTGTACAGATTGTACATACGTGAGGAAAGAACCTCCTGAGCGAACTGGACATACGTACATATGTACATATGTATGGAGCCCTTGATGAACTAAATAATCCATTGCGAGGTACATATTTATGATCGGCATCTTTGGAAGAGATGCAACTCATTGCGTACCCTCTTAGAAATCCGGTATTATAATAAGACCAAGCGGTATTTATATAAATACGAGCGGAGAAGCCAGTCTTTCGACTGGCAGTCATGCTAAGCATTTGAAAATGGTCGATAATATAAATCTGAGGCGACTGCTGGAATCTGCTGACATCCATCCAAGCCGCTATGCAAATACGGTTGAAATTTTGGTGACCTGTGACCCTTGACCTTGAATGGCGTGACCTATGTTATTCAAATTATGACCGCTTCCACTGCTCTGGACGAAGCTTTGAAATGCACTATCATACGTTGCTGTATGTAGTCTGGCGCCTGAGTTAGCTTTTGACCGTTATTCTAGGTCACGGTGAGGTCACAGGTCCTAAGTGTCTTATATATTCTGGAAGGTATTTGTAAGACCTTTCGAATGATACCCCACTTGTTGGGGGTTATCATGTGAAATTTGGGTGACCTGTGACCCTTGACCTTGAATGGCGTGACCTACACTTTTCAAACTATGACGGCTCCCACCGCCTTGGACTAAGCTTTCGAATGCGCTATCGTGCGTTGCTGTAAGTAGTCAGATGACGGAGGAGTTGATGCCAACGGACCGTGACGGTCGTGCTGAATTAAGTAATAGGATGTATAGGTATGTATGAAAATGGTGTTGATAAGTAAGAGCATTCAGTAATAGATCAGTATTAAATTTTTGCCATATCAGTAGCACATGTACATATACTGACCGGTATAATTTTAATATGAACTGGTAACAACTTTCATACCGTGAAATAAATATGTACACTTTACAGCCCCCGGTAGAGTCATGTAATACTGGTATTGATTTGGTAAAAAATCACTACCGGAGAGGTAATAGTTTTTTCTAATTGTAAGTAGTAAATATTTCATTACAACCACATTACTACGCCGTAACCCTTGATAATACGAATGCAGGTAGACTCATAAATATGTACTCCAGCCAGTAAGGATTTAATACCAATTACCTAAGAGTACACTTGCCTAACTATACCAGATTTCTATGAGTGTGCCTTAATTACGTATAGCATAAGATCATATCACAACAGCCAGGTCTACACATACATACGTATATATACATACATACACAAATCGCTCGTATCCTTCATTCCTGGTCCATGAGTCACGGGCCGTCAAGTGTCAGTTTATTTATTTAGATCATTTTCGTCGTCTTATCATAAATAAGTATTAATCTTACGTATGCATGAGTCAGTCAAAAGACGAATTTTTTAACATAAATAAATAAGAAGTAGAGAGTAATTTCTTCTACGAATATTAATAGCAGTGCATAAATTATGTAACGTGAAAATCGCGACCTCCTAGACCCCATTATCATGTATCACATATGTAGGCACGACATCATTGGAGCCCTTGACCCACCCCCCTCTCGTGTTACATGATTTATGGAAAGCCCCATTTATGGACGTATGTAAGTACATACGTCCATGAAGGTTTAGTCGAAACGGAGACCGCATTGAATTACAGATTACTGGAGCCAGGCCGGCATTCTGAGATAAGCGGAGAGATTTTATGACAATGCGAGAAGCTCTTTATTTTTAAAAGAACGTTTGATTATTGCTTCTGAGATATGTGGTGACTCAGGATCAGTTGAATAGCTCTGTTAATTTTATGATCACACTGTAAACAAATTTGGTGAATATTTACACCCTTGCGTGAATTTTTAAATATGTCTGCGGAAAAGTTTATTAATTTGAGTCAACAGTTCGATAAAGGATGTCATAAATATTGCAATCAATTTTGTATGATTATGCGTTACTCGATATACATATGTACATATATATATATATCGAGCCATTGTTTTATATCAGAGTTAAGCTATAAGTAATTTATTTATTTGTGTTCATGATAATATTATGCAAGGAAATTAAGAATCAGGTCAAGTAGGAAAGATGAAGTAAAGTTGGACGAACTCATTTCCAAGTTAAAAAAAATGCAGCAAAAATGATATTTGTATCAACATTTATTTATAAAACATCTCCAAAATTCTGAAAATTGTAAATTTTAGTATGAATTTACCTGGGACAAATAAATCTTCGTATTCCAACCAACATTTATACATAAGGTTAGAAAATATGTAAGTAAATATATAAATATATATTTTTTAATAATTAAGTTCACTGCGATTCGTGTCAAATGTGCTTTGCTTCAAGCGTATAAATATTTCTGACATTTTCTTTACCACAAATTAGGAAACTTAAATTCTTTCAAAATCTTCGTAAAATAAATTATGCTTGCTTCTCTACATACTTAGGTAACTAAAAAATTGCAAACGTGTGGAGCAACTATTATTACATAAAACAAAACTATCTCTGAAACAATTAAAGCGTATTCTGTATTTGCATAACATGTAAATAATTTCAGATCTGCATCTAATAATCCACATCAATTATGTAAATGCATACTCTTTTAATAGTTGTACACGATAAATCATATTTCACTAAATAAATCGAAATTTAAACTTCTTGTCAGATCGTGGTCCCAAAAATTTCACAACAAATTAAAAAAAATATATGTTCCGGCCAATAATTTTGAGAAGCCTAATTAACCACTCCTCCCTTCTAGAGTTGCCAGTAAGCCGAGCTATTGAGTTGTGAGTCAAGCCAAGCCGACTTATAAGTAGTTGGACTCACTCACAACTCAATAAGCCGACTCATTGAGTAGACGCCAGACGGCTTACTTGAGGCCAACTCAACTCGGCTTGACTCAGAAAGCCGAGTGCAGACGAGTTGAAGTTGCAACTCTACTCCCTTCAATTCTTGGACGAATCTTTTTACCACGAAGATAAAGTAAGTCTGCACTCCTAGAAGGCAGCCGTACACGGCGAGGAAATGGAATCCCTCGGCGACCCTTCCATCGGCGACGAAAACCAAAAATAGCGCCAAAATCACAAAAGCGCAGTAGCCAAGGGTGACGTAGCTCCAGATCAACCATGGCGTAATCCAGCGGTGACTGCGCTATTTTATGTACAAACAAATTATTTTTTTGTGGTTAATAATGAGGACAATAAATAATATGTAACAAATAAAAAAATTAAATTTTGTAAAATTTATAAAAAATAGTTAAACTTATTAATTTAGCATTCCAACAAATATTTCCTAAAAAAAATAGCAAACATTTTAGTACAACTATAGAAATGATGAATCTAAGCAAGTTTTTAAGTAATCACAACTTTCTCAAAAATCTATAAAATCGTAAAAAATTTGCAAAAAATTTTGCAAAGTGGCGGTGGCGGTGCACAAAGCATCGATTTGAGAGAAATTTTGACTCCCCCCTAGGTGTGACCTATATGCCTAATGTTATAATTATCGTGGAAGGAAAGGATGCCTTGACCCCTACACCCCTCAATAAATGACATGCTTTATGCACAACAGATGCAAGAAGTAAGCGCCATCTAGCGATAAATCCCTTTAATCAAATGTTGGTGGGTCGCTTACATATATTTCTATTTTTACAATTTTTTGCACCGGAATGCAGGAAATGGTGAAAAGGTGGAATAAATCAAATAATTTTCGTGCACATTTAACTTACCAAACGATATCCATGAATCAGAAAGCATGCCATGACGAAGAACACCACCATTACAAAGATAGTGATGCAATCCACCGTGATAATGAGAGCCACTGGAAATATAAATAAATTTGGTTAGAATATAAATCCAGATAAGTTAGACTGACTGGCTACAGAAGTTAAGTTTTTCGTGGTAGATATTTGCATGCATATGGTTAAATTTTATAATGCGACATATTCAGCGTACTCACGTCAACCTTCGCATATCTGGCAAATTGGGCATAATGTAACTTTCGAAGCTTTGCGAGACTTACGAGATTTCGCAAAATTTTTGCTGCAAAACCATGGGATTTTTTTTCGCAATTTATTTTTTCGCAAACTTATTCTCACCATCACTACCAAGAGAAATTACAGAAATCCATGGAACTAAGATTAAAATAGGTGTTTTTAGTAGATTTGCGAACCCCCTTATGAAACAAATATTTTGATCTTTGCAAATTTGCTAAATATGAGTTTGAGTGCTAAATATTACGTTGTAGCTAGTACCCTCATTGAATAACTATACGTACAATGTCGGTGAAAGAAAGAACCAGTAATAAATCCGTCGGGATAGTTGATCGCGAAATTGACCCCCATGGAATTCCAGACGATGATGAAGACGCCAACGACCTGAAATTAAATTTTTGAATTCTGCGTAAAATCTCGCAATAAAATCTTCACGGTTTCATTTTGGATAAAAATTAAAGTTACTCGAGTCCAATTTTACTAATTTGATAAAAAATACAAAACGCTTACGACATTGAGAATTCCAATCGTGAGCGTTCCCTGTCCCAACGTGTACCATCCGCGGCAACAAGTTCCCGACATTTTATTCTCGTATTAAATTATTCTTGGGATTGTAGCAAAAAAACTTTAAATCAAATTGGATGTGTAATTATCTTGGCGAGGAAAGAATCTGTTCTGATTTTGCGGAAGGGTCGACTGATTTATTTATGCGTGTAGAGCGAGCAGAGCGCCTCCTTCTCGTGGCTTGGGGGACATTCCTAAATTGTGTAACGCAAGAATCGCGAATTTCTAGACATCCTTTCCCCCTTTAACGTATGACTGTCACATAGGAACGATATCGTTGGAGCCTTGGACCCAACCTTTTACGTGGCATAATTTATGGACGGTCCCCTGGCTGAAAGTGAGTCTTTACGAGATCGTCTTATTATCCAGTTTCTAAAATGAGAATACTTATTTCTAAATGATATACATAGATTGTATTTTAAGAAACAGCTTTTTGAACGAGCTGGACATATGATTTTCGTCCCCTGATCGTCAATAAGTGTTAATTTTACATATGTATGAGTCAGCCCTTTCACGAATTTTGGAACATGGATTAATAAGAAGTAGTGAGTAATTTCTTGTAGACGAATACTACTTACATACATACATACATCCATGAAGGATCAGTCGAAACAGAGACCGCATTAAGTTACAGATTACTGAAGCCAAGCTGGCATTTTTAGATAGATAAGCAAAGAGATTTTATGGTCATATGAGAAGTTGTTTACTTCTCGAAGAACGTTTGGTATTGTTTCTGAGATCTTGAATATCTCAGTTAATTTTGTGAGTATAATGTAAGTACAAAAATTCGGTGAATATGTACATCCCGGCATGAATTTGTATATGGATATGTGTTTACTCATTTTTGTCAAAATATGTAGTTCGACAATATTACAATTTTGTGTTAAGTATATATATGTACATATACTTTGCTCGACGTAAATTAAAATGTATGTGCATATGTAAACTTATTGTTGCGATACGACCAAAGTTATGTTCGTATGCAGCTAAAGGAAGTATAAACTGAAGCCAAGAAAATATCTGGTGACTAGATATATACGTATTTACATACACTGTTCTCTTCGTAATCTAGTAAAGTCACACAAGTATGTAACCAGTTCTCGGTATTAAAGTTGCTTCCACTTGGCAGCAAATACTAAAATGGTATTAAAATTATTTAACATTATGCCGATCTGTAAAAACTTGCTGCATCCACTCCCTGTACATATCACTTTTTGACGTATGTACGTAATATTTAAGTAGTTAGATAAAAATACCAATATTTTTAGCGAAAGGAGTGACACGTTCCTTGTTTATTTGTGTGGACATAATTAAATAAATGCGACCTATAAGATTTGCTACGGGAACAAAAAAATGTGTATGACGGTGTCTATACAAAATATGGAAGCTTTGGCAGCTGGATTTTTAATTTCTGAATTTCCATCAAAAATAGTTCATAGACCATGCAATTAGCGGCATTTATAATGCCGTGCAATTAGTGTAATCGAAGCAAATGTTTGAAAAAAAGTTGCCCCAATCCTTCGTCTTGGGCGTTTTTGTGATCTAAAATAGGGTTCGTAGAACGGCGATTTTTTTTATCATTTTTCGAGGTAGGAAGCTGAAATTTCAGATTCTACACCTTATTGAATGTCCCTAGGCGGGACTTTTTCTTTTTAATGTCTAACGTCGAAAATGACCTTAAAACCGCCGGTTTTAAACCGGTCACTTTTCGACTTGTCCATTTTCTCGTGTTGTTATATCTACATATATGCAATCTCAAGTCTCACGTAAACGTTTAGATGGGGTATCGTTGGAAAGGTCTCGGAATGTGGATTCAGAATATATATACTTTGGTGGGTCTGGCACCACCCATTGATTTTCTAGAAATCAAAGAATGTCGAGTATTTTGGTGGTATCCAAAATTTAACACAGCAGTAAATTGACCGCCAACATAGCATAGATTGACAAAAACTCAATAAAACTCTTTGACCTCCAAATCATCAAAAGGTGATGCCAGACCCAAAGTATATGTATATATTCTACCCGATGTATTCATACCCCAGTTAAGGGGCTACGTGAGACTTGAGACTACATATATAACAACATGATAAAATTGGCATGTCGAAAAGCAACTGGTTTTAGGTCATTTTCGACATTAGACATTAAAACGGAAAAGTCCCGTCTAGGGATACTCAATAAGGTGTAGAATCTGAAATTTCAGCTTCCTAGCTCAAAAAATGGCAAAAAATTGTCGTACTACGAACCCTATTTTAGATCAAAAAAACGCCCATTACGAAGGATTGGGCAACTTTTTTTCAAACCTTTCCTTCAAATACACTAATTTCATGGTCTGTGACATATTTTTGATGGAAATTCAGAGATCAAAAATCAAGCTGCCAAGGCTTCCAGGCTTATTTGGTTTAGACACTGTCTCTAGGAATATTTACTATTTCGTTATTTGGTCGAGTCATAAAAATTTATTTCAGTTTAAATTTCCATGCAGAATTATTTACGTACTATTTAAACAGCTTAATTATATTTCAACGTTGTGTGACCATTTGATTCAAATTTTGAAAATTCGTGGAAAATAATCCATAGTTTGTGTAGATGTAAATATGTAGATATTTGTGTGAAGTTGGGAAAAGCGTTGCTTAATTAAATTACTTAACTTAAATAATTATATTTTGTGCAATAATCTCAAGTCCTTGCTAAATCACTTTTTACACCAAATACCCAGTATCAATCTAAATAGTTACCTACTTATATGACTAATTGTTTCGGCTTCCTCGTATTGCGGTTTGGATGAAACGACGAGTAAATAGTAATTTGCAGGGAAATATTTATCTCTCATTTACCACACGTGTGGTTTCAGAGCTGAAATTCTTGAATGTATTTATTTATTCCTCTAATGATTCACTTTTACTAGTTTTCTTCCAGCATGAGTAATTTTCGGTTTGAGGCTGACTTGCTAAATACACTTTAAATAATTTGTTTCAAGTAGTTTACAACTTTCTGTAATAAAGTTAAATATTTAATTCGAGAAAAATGTCGTCGGAAACTTGTTTCTGTGGATGCACGCTTGGACGGGGTGCTCTTGCCATTGGAACTATTAACGCTGTTAGGAAATTATATATATATGTTTGTATGATTATTAAATTATGTGAAACAATTACCCTATTAAAAATCTGATATAATGAGACAAGTATTGATTGATTTCGGTATTAAATTTTCTACCACTTATATTGATATTACAATTATACCAGCCTGTAAAAATTTGCTACCAACATGGTAAAACTTTAATACTTAGCTATGTATTATTGCACAGCATTACTTATTAATTCCACATTAGTGGCTACCTTTGTTTTTGAAACACTTTCTGAAAGTAAATTTAAGGTATGAATTTATCTATGACAACCACCTCTTAATTTTCCGCGTAACACTTATTCAATTAGAAAAACAGTTGTAGATACATATACTTTAAATACATAATTTATGGACTGCAATTCGTGTCAAAAAGACTTAAGCCCAAACCCATAAATGGATCTTACCAAGGGCCAAAAATTAGAAAACTTAGATTGACTAATTCCCTCAAAATATTTGCAAAATAAATTCTGCTACCTTAAACCTATCTACATATCTACATAAATAATACAAAATTACACATGTGTACCAACAATTACCAGTGATATTTCGATAATAATTTAGGCCTGTTAATATGTATATTACAATTTATATGTACATAATTTCAGATCGCCGGCATCCTCGCCGTCGGCAGGGATTCCATTGTGGTCACTGCCGCGATCTTCTATCCAGACCAATTTGTTGACCCTGCCTTTCACGAAAATCGTACCCATATTTATTGAAAATGTCACGTACATTGGTTACACCGCTTATAAAAAATTTCTCTATATGAATAACTTAATATTTCTAGCTAGTCGCTACTACACTATTTGTGGCGTTAGAATCTGCATATCCGTCGTGCACACGATTTTATCATGTTTTATGGTGCACGGATGTCGAACTGTAAGTTGTTGAGCAACCAATAGTAATTTTTAACCTTGCAGATTTTTACAAATAGAATAATCATTATTCTAAGTGTAAAAATCATAATTCAATAATGCATGTCTTTCATGTTTTGAACCATTAACTTCTTCGAGGTTAAAAATTAACTGATTCATTATTTTAAAAAAATGTATCTCACCCTTATCAAATATTGATGACATATTTACAGAAAAATAACCGCTTGATTATGCCTTGGGTGATCTGGACGTACGTGTGCATCATCGTTGAAGTTAGCCTGGCTGTGATCATGTTTTTTCTCTTCGTTATATTTGTCCTATTTTCTGGACAAATCGGGGTGGGATTTTGGATTTTCCTTACATGCTTAGTTATCCTTGGAGTGCAGGCTTATTTTCTTTCCGTGGTGAGAACATTTTCCCACGTGTTAAAAAGAGATACGGTGCAGGATTGAAGTTTGTTACGATGCACATTTGCAAATCAAATTACTACATGTCGAAAAAACTAGAATTGTTATTAACTCAAACATGCTTGTGTGCGTAATTAATTAACCATTTGATATTGGGGGTATTCATGAATTTCGTTCGCATAGCTAAAGTATAATTGCTGATTGAACTTATTAATCTAAATCTGGGTAACATATGATAAATATGTATTTAGATATATGCAATTATGTATTTACATATGTATGTATGTACATCAAATAATTGACCTCAACTTAAAGAGCTAACGAATTGTTTCAACACATAAACCTTATTTATTTCAGGAAATAAATACATATATAGGAACTCAAAATTCTTTTCATATATTTTTCTTAAACATTTCAAGTTTTTTTTCATTTATGTAAATACATAGTTAATTATAATTATTTCAACACACACATTAACCGAAATTCAAAATTATTATCATATCTTTACCCTTGACACATTTTCTCCAAAATTTTGACAAACTCTAATTAACCACGCCTCCCTTCAACTCATCAACGAATCTTTTCACCACGAAGATAAAGTAGACCTGTAATCCGAGGAAAAACCCGGCTAAAATGAGGAAAAGAAATCCCTCGGCGACCCTTCCAGCGACGGCGATAATGCAAAAACACACCACAACCATAACAGCACCGTAGGCAAGGGTCACATAGCTCCAGATCAACCAGGGCGTAATCCAGCGGTGATTGCGCTATTTGAAAGTATATAATCTTATTGGGATTAAATAATTTTACATAGCAAAAATCTTTAGCAAAATTTGCATAAGCGCCACTTGGCGGGAAATCCCGCTAATTAATCCTTAACGTAGTTCAAAGGGGGAGTAGCTAGGTGGCGCTTATTTCGTGAATCTTGAATTTTTCAGTTTTTGCACTGGAATACAGCAAATTTCGAAAAGGCGGAAAGGTCAGACACTCATTTCGTGCACGAGTACAAATAGAGTACAACAGAAATAACTTGAAATAAGGGCCATGTTGCGAGAGATTTCGTTCAAAATTAAGTCTAATCATTGGGAAATGATTAAGCGAGATGGATTTGATTTTAATTTTAGCCCGCTCGTGTCGGCACGTGTTTTTGGCGGACAGAAATTCCATCACGCTTAAACATTTTACAATCAATATGGTTTTATCTTTTTTTAATAAGAGAACACCCTCGATAAACTATTCTCGTAAAAAATGCTGTCATTAAAAAAAATGAAACCATAAGTGGCGTTTATTTCTGGTAATTCTTGTATTTTGAATTTTTCAGTTTTTTGCACTGCAATGCAAGAAACGTTTTAAAGGTGCAAGAAATCAAATCCTGTATATAGGTTTTACTTACCTTACGATACCCGTAAATCATGAGGCATGCCAGGATGAAGAACACGACCATCATGAAGATGCTGATGCTATCCAACGTGACATAGAGAGTCGCTGGAAATATTGGTTTTTGATAATACATCAATTGAACGAGTTGTATTTTAGAAGGTGACTAAATAATGCCATGTAATATGTATTTAAAGCAACGTCCATAAATTATGTCACGGCTGAGGGGGATGAAAGGGTACAATTTTTGCTTGACAGGCCAAATTTCGCCATATGTTAGAAAGGGGTGTAACACGTCAAGGAGGGTCTGAAAAGTTGGCATTTTTGAGTGACATAATTTATGCACGTTCATAAATAATCTTCGTACGATATTCCTTAAAGTCAGGATCCTCAATTTTGTCTGGATAGTTGATCATGGTATGAATCTCCATGGAATCAGTGACGACTGAGTAGATTCCTCCGATCTGAAATTATGTTAATCTACACTGTTAACAATCTGGCGGTATTGATTTCTTGGTATTAAAGTTGCTAGTTTCCAGGAGATTTACATGCATATTTTCTTGTTTACAATAACCTTACAATATCTAGAATTCCAATGATTAGTGTTCCCTGTCCCACCGTGCAGGATCCGCAACAACAAGTTCCAGACATTCCTATATTTCCGAATTAAAGATTTCTCGCGACTTTCTCCAGAATTTGTTCTTTTTAAATGTTTTGAAAAGTTGGAACGAAAGATCGGTGAATTTAAAGGATTTCGACTAAAAGACTGTGACCGAGTTCCTGTTCTGTGGCAAGTAGCTAGGAAAACTAGTAAGCTTTGTAAAATATTTTACCAAACCAAATGTACCAAATTGGCGGATGTGATGCGCAAAGGAAGTGTGGTTGTGGAATTGTAATATACATATTAACAGGCCTAAATTATTATCGAAATATCACTGGTAATTGTTGGTACACATGTGTAATTTTGTATTATTTATGTAGATATGTAGATAGGTTTAAGGTAGCAGAATTTATTTTGCAAATATTTTGAGGGAATTAGTCAATCTAAGTTTTCTAATTTTTGGCCCTTGGTAAGATCCATTTATGGGTTTGGGCTTAAGTCTTTTTGACACGAATTGCAGTCCATAAATTATGTATTTAAAGTATATGTATCTACAACTGTTTTTCTAATTGAATAAGTGTTACGCGGAAAATTAAGAGGTGGTTGTCATAGATAAATTCATACCTTAAATTTACTTTCAGAAAGTGTTTCAAAAACAAAGGTAGCCACTAATGTGGAATTAATAAGTAATGCTGTGCAATAATACATAGCTAAGTATTAAAGTTTTACCATGTTGGTAGCAAATTTTTACAGGCTGGTATAATTGTAATATCAATATAAGTGGTAGAAAATTTAATACCGAAATCAATCAATACTTGTCTCATTATATCAGATTTTTAATAGGGTAATTGTTTCACATAATTTAATAATCATACAAACATATATATATAATTTCCTAACAGCGTTAATAGTTCCAATGGCAAGAGCACCCCGTCCAAGCGTGCATCCACAGAAACAAGTTTCCGACGACATTTTTCTCGAATTAAATATTTAACTTTATTACAGAAAGTTGTAAACTACTTGAAACAAATTATTTAAAGTGTATTTAGCAAGTCAGCCTCAAACCGAAAATTACTCATGCTGGAAGAAAACTAGTAAAAGTGAATCATTAGAGGAATAAATAAATACATTTTCTTGTTTACAATAACCTTACAATATCTAGAATTCCAATGATTAGTGTTCCCTGTCCCACCGTGCAGGATCCGCAACAACAAGTTCCAGACATTCCTATATTTCCGAATTAAAGATTTCTCGCGACTTTCTCCAGAATTTGTTCTTTTTAAATGTTTTGAAAAGTTGGAACGAAAGATCGGTGAATTTAAAGGATTTCGACTAAAAGACTGTGACCGAGTTCCTGTTCTGTGGCAAGTAGCTAGGAAAACTAGTAAGCTTTGTAAAATATTTTACCAAACCAAATGTACCAAATTGGCGGATGTGATGCGCAAAGGAAGTGTGGTTCTGTATTAACCACATATGTACATAGAAGATAACAAATGTGGACGTAAAATTTGGGAAAATAAGTCGTACAAATGTGGCGAATGGTGTATTATATACATATTTAATTGATAGCCCACCATTATTTATATACATAAATATTTAGTACAGGTTTTCCATACTACCTAATATATTGAATGAAATTCAAAGATAAAATGATTCAAATACATGTTTACGGAGTGAAAGTAAGTTTTATTCCAAAAAGCGAATTTTATGCAGCAATGTAAATACAGATTTTTATAAATCTAAGCTATCTATCATGCATATATAAATAATAATTCATAATGCGGGCATTTATGTACTCCGTCATTGCAGAGTTGATATTAACAAATGCGCAAAAAGTTTTGATTTCTTTGGTTCGTAGACATTTCGTACGCGTGTGAAATTTAGAAGCGTATTTTTTACACGTATAAATAAAAATTAAAAATTCTAAACAGTTCGACGCTATGGTAACTTGCAATAATACAATTTTGGAAATTTCAAACAAGGTATCTTCAAAACAAAAGTGCAGACAGATACATATGTACATATTTTGTAAATACAAAATTTTTATGGTAACCAAATTCGAGGAGTGAATAAACCTAATTGGTTAGTAAATACATACATAAGCGAATCGTAATTTTAGTTTCTTGCAAAAAGCAGTAATTATTTTTCCCAATATCGTGAAAAACCTTAATCCTCGACCACATCTCGTTTTAAATTGTGAGCGAATCTTCTCACCACGGAAAGAAAATAGGTTTGCACTCCCAGGATAACTCCGAATATAACGAAAATCAAAAGTCCCGCACCGATTTGTCCAGCGAAGGCGAAAATTACCAACATGATTACAGCAAAGCCAATTCCGAGGAACAGACAAACATAGGTCCAGATCAACCAGGGCATGATCAAGCGGTGATTTTTCTGTAAATATATGTATAAATATATGTCTTTGATAACGACGAGACAAATTTTTTCAAAAATATCATCGCTAAAGAATCAATTGATCTTTAACCTTGAAGATTTTTAGACATGGAGTGAATACAGTACATGATTTCTATGTATAAAAATCTGCAAGGTTAAAAACCGCGTCTCTATAGATACACTGTTAGAAATCTGGTATAGTCATGAAGGTACTTATTAAAGTTGCTGCCGCTTGGTATTAAAATTATACCGGTCCGTAAAAATTTCCCACCGATATGGTAAAACTTTACGTAATACCGAGTTACATAAATATGTACATATTACTACACGGTATTACTTATAAATACCACTTTAGTAGAGTCATATTATATGAATACCACTTGGTATTATTTTAACACCGGATTTCTAAGAGTGTAATTCTTCTTGAATGACTCACAATTCGACATCCGTGCACCATAAGGCAAGACAAAATCAAGTACACGACCGCTATAAAAATCTGGATGAAACCATAACTGATGTAGCGACTGGCTGGAAATATTAATTGGTTAATAGTTTACATGGATAAATTTAAATTAAATTGGCGCTAAATTACACCCATTAAAAAAGGGTGAAGGTTTTAGAGGATGATATTATATGCAATATGTAAATATACGATTTGTTTGGAAGCTGGGGTCCTTAATTTCTCCGGGGAAGAAGATCATGGCATTGACCGCGATGGAATCCTTGATGACGGAGATAACCCCGGCGATCTGAAATTATTTAGATAAGTACGCCTTATGCGTTTTCAAAAATATTGATCTATTCTGGAGATATCTTGCAAACAGGTGCCCAATAATCTGATACATTTCCCTACCCGAAAATTTGAAACTTTCTAAATTAATTTCTCAGCTCTTTATGGCCATGGCATCAAAAGCTTCAAGGGTTAAGGTTTACTCATCCCAAAGTATCATTGGTAAAAATTTCAAGCAGATCTGTTATTATCAACCTCGGAAGCTCCCCTCCTTAGTTGTGGTCGGGATATCTTTGTATACACATGTGCAAATTTTTAGTTTGCAAATATTTTCGGAAAATTTAAATTTTCAAATTTTTGAAACTTTTCTAATGTCAGTAAGTTTGAAGTATTTAATATTCAGAAATCTAAAGATATTGAGGGTACTTTATACGATTTAATCCTCATACAAACATGGATAAGGTGCTTACAACGTTGATAATTCCAATGATAAGGGTTCCCTGTCCCAGAGTGCATCCACAGCAACAAGTTTCTGATGAAGACATATTTTCGAATTACTATTTTCGTTTAGAAAATTTTATTAGAGAAATTCTGACAAAATTTTTTGAGGCTTATTCCTTCACAGAAATTGCTAGGAGCGGAGTGTGTGTCTCTTGCTGGAGGAAAACTGTTGGAAGTGCGTCATTTGGGAAATACTTTTACTTTGCGTGTTTCCGATCCGAAACCACAGGCTAATCCATTTTGTGGTAAATGAGAGACAGGCGTTTCCCTTCAATTGCCAGATACATTACAAGAATACTTACAATTAGATACTTAGCGCATATTTCATAGTTTGGCATGAAGCATTTAAATACATGCACAAAACCTAAAATATTGCTTGGCTTAGGACCGCACAAAAATAATGTGATAGATCTGTGGATGGGTATGTTTTGATAAACGTCCCCGAAAAGCAAAAACATGCTTTATACATGTACGCTTTATTTAACATAAATATTTATATGTACGTACCGGATTAATTATAGTTTTTGGAGCGGTATAACAATTTACTCTCCCCTTGCACTCTTTGCAATGTGTCACACATTATGTGTGTATTTCTGGAATACATGTACATATTTACCTCATCCTCATTATTAAAATTGCTGATATTCAATCCACGTTTTTATTGTAGATAAAGTCTTCAAAGTCAGTTTATCCAAATGTCTATAAATAAATTTATGCATGTGATAAACAACATGTATATAATAGTTTAAGCATGTCTGTTACAATGTACATAATTTTATAGAATGACAAATGTGCTTGACTGGAATTCATGTTAATCTCTTACGATCCCTATTGGGGAAATTCGTATTACACAATCAGCGCATAACAACCCTTCTTATCAAAGGACAAATTATTCAATTCCAACTCGCGAGAACATTGGAAAGTTTATTTATCACTTAACAAATTAATTGTTCCGCATTAATCCTTCATTCTGGGTGAAACCACCTGTCAAAAGGTGCATACTTAAACGTCGAGTTGACTGCAGTTATACTTCATTCCCAGTTCATACAAATACTATTTAACCCTATTTAAAATGAAAATCTGCTACGAAATTAGATTCTGTGTAACTGTTTTGTTTTGTGGAATTGTTGGCCTGGTTGAGGCAGATATTCCACTGACCCACAACTTCCAAAAAGAGCAAATCTTTGTACAGGGAAACTGGTATAATAAAGACGGGTCAAATGGAAGACCGGTAATTACACCGCAGGACACCTTTCAACAGTGTATGCACCACAATAATGCGTCCGGCTGCGAGACAACGTGGGGGCAGGTATTTCCTAAACCAGAGCTCGGCGGATATCGGGTGAAAACCATCATATCCGCACTCTAAATAAAAATGAGTAAAATTTACTCAAGGTTGGGTAAAAAAGAGAATGACACAACTAGAAGGTAAAATTTATCCAAAGTTTTGTAAAATTCGCCCCATGTTGGGTAAATTTTACCTTCTAGTTGTGCCATCCTCTGTTTTACCCAACCTGGAGTAAATTTTGCTCATTTTTATTTAGAGTGCGGATATATATCCATAGCCGGGCCGTACTCTCCAACCCCTAAACCTCCAATACCCATCCCAAAATCTCGGCCTCCAATATCCATGCTCCAATATCCATGATATCCGCCGAGCTCTCTGGGAGCGTCCATAAATCACGTGACCGATTAGAGGGGGGGAGGGGGTCTGAAATTTGTCACCAATTATCACGAGGGGGGGGGTAGACGGTCAGATGTCACGTGACATGAGTAAAGTTTTGTATATGCCAATAAATGTCATGAGAGTTATATAAAAATTCTCTTGGCATACCTCACACACGTTATATAGATTTGATTTTCATTTTGCATATTTAGAAACTTGCTTCGACTTAAAATTCTTATGTCTGACTGGCTTATTACATAGTTATTTACACATGTGTGTAGCTCTAATTAATGATTAAAAAACACTGGAATAATATTGTTCTTCCGGACAACATGATTTAATTTGAGCATCATCTGTCACGTGACCGGTGGGGGGCGGGTAGCGAAATTATCACCAACGGTCACCAAGGGGGGGGAGGGGGTCAAAATTGTCCAAAAATCGATCACGTGTTTTATGGACGCTCCCTCTCCTAAACTGAATAATTGAAAATTCACAATCACGCCAATTATATAATTATGCAATCAATTTCTAGGAACTGCATATATTCTTCTTTATTGCAGAGATATTGGACAAATACAAACTATTATCAGCCAGGTCGACCAATTTTTATAGAGTTGGCTGGAGAGTGGGACGCGGCCGGAAGTGTGGATGGGGGTTATTGGCACAACTATGCGAGACAGTACAATGCTATGCTCATCGTTCTAAAACATCGCTTTTATGGCGGTAGTTTTCCAATTAGGTAAATAACTTTAAGGATAATCATTTATTATGATTTTCTGTATTTTTAACACCTATGACTTAATTTGCATAGAAATCCTACAAATGCTGATTTATGGTTGATGACATCTCAACTTGCGTTGGCCGACGCGGCACGATTTATTGAAGTTTTTACCGCCAATAATAATTTAAATGTGAGCAGAAGGGGAAGTAGTACTTCCCCTTCTAAAATATTATCTCCTTTTAAATCATTTTAGGGAACTAGCTGGGTCGCGTTTGGTTGCTCATATGGAGGAAATTTGGCGGCTTGGTTCAAACTCAAGTATCCAAATCATGTGAAAACTGCGGTCTCATCTTCCGCTCCGGTAGAAGCGTTGTACGATTACCCAGGTAATCTGAAAATAAAATAAAAACATTAATTCATCTTCTAACGTTATACTACATACACCCCCTTTTTCAGGATATATGCAGACCGTATCTGACGTCGTGGAGGTAGTGGACGCACCATGCTATACCCAACTTTATGATACGTTCAGCTGTATGGAGGCCCTATACAATGGTTCTCAACCCACTTGCGGGACATACAATTCCCCCGATGACCTTCTTGCCCCGCTGCAGTATACAATTTAAATATTCGAAATTTCCATCCACGCAGGATTGAAGTTTTACAGAAATTGAAAATTCTGAGATACTACGCCCCTGCCAGTCTCAAAGTTCCCCGTCAGCATTATTTGAGACTGACAGTGACGTAGTTTTCGAGAAATTTTCAATTTCTGTAAAAAGTTCAATTCTGCCTATTGGTTTGCCTTATTTTCTGCAGGTGGTGCAATTCCGTCGATTGGAATGGTCTCAGTCGAGAAATATTGTTCCTCTCGCTCGCCATGAACGTGTGGGCGGCTAATGCCCCGTCAGGTCCAGTTAGGCGAGCCTGCGACACCTTGTCATCTATCAATGGTGCAAACAACGTCGAGAAATACGGCAATTTCATGCTCGCCATGGGGCAGGATGGAGGTTGCCGCCATCACGGTGAGAAAGCTGGGGCAGACAGAGAATGGCTGAAATCTGAGGAAGCTTGGCAAGCCGGCGCGGCGGGATGGCGTTGGCAAACATGCAACGAATTTGGGTACTTCATGTCCTCCGATCCTATTCATGGGCTGTATGGAAGGAGAACATGGTCTGGCGATGGGTACGGATCGTACTGTACAACCTAAGGGGCACAGTGAGATAGAGATTTGAAAATATGCTTTTATAAACGTATGCCATGAATATGTATTTATTTATTTCAACAAATTTATCGACAAATTTTAGATTTACGCGAGCCTACGTGGAGGGACGGATCGCGGAAACAAACGCGTATTATGGCGGGAAGAATTTAGATTCAAAATGTGTCATTTATGTGCACGGAACATGGGACCCTTGGCACACGCTAGGGGTCACGACACCAAAGGCTGATAATACAGTGATTATTGTTCCAGGTAAGTTCCATATCGTCGTACAAATTCATAAAAGACCTAAGTGCAGTCGATTGTTAATTCAGAAAGGAGCTAAGTGTACACAGAAAAAGTCTAAAAAGACCTACATATGTGCAAGTATGTATTTACGTACGGCTATAAATTTCCAGCCACAAGGATTCTTCATTTATCGCGCGATTTAGCCATGAGTATGACATACTGTACTTGAACGTATGTAGGTCTTCTTCGGCTTTTTTTCTGTACACCTAGTTCTTTTCTGAATTAAACATCGACTGCACATAGCTCTTTTCTGAATTAAACATCGGCGGCACATAGGTCTTTTCTGCATTAGTACGACGATATAGAAAATGCAGACATTAATTATAGAGATGAGTACGTACATTTTCATCAAATTTTTGTCATAGGAACTGAACATTGCGCCGACATTGGAAATCCCACCAGTCCAGAGATGGTGGCAGCCCAGGCACAAATTTTGGCACAAATAGGATCTTACCTTAATGATCCGATTTGTTAAAGTTATCGGAATTTGTTTTTATGAAATATACGCAAAAAGGACAACACATTTTTGGCAATTTCCCAATTTTCTAAAATTATACAGAATAAAACCATGCCTGCATAAAATCATAAATAAGTACGCGATTTACGTATGCCACTGTTATTAAAAATTTTGTATCATTTGCTGTCGTTTCTGCTGACACGAAAAAATCAAATAAATAGCGAAAGCAATTTGCTTTCGTAATTGTATTTAATAAAGTCTCACCTATACAGAAATGTTCATATATTCGAAACTAATGTAGGTACACTGAGTGGAACTGCTGATCATCCTCACCTAGTGCGCTCGGTTCCAATGGTCACCGAAAGGGGCATAGCCGACCAATATATGTCAAAAAAGCATCAGACGTGCAGAAATATGTACTAAATCAGTCAATTAAGCAAAAACTTCCAAAAAGTTAACTGCACTCATTTTACACGGAATGAGCATAGAGTAAGACACAAGCGGGCTCGCAACTAGTCTTCATCCGCCACAACAAAAACACAATTTTCGAGTGGAAACAATTTTCTTGATTTATCATTTTTTTATGCGGGTAAGTGCATCTTGATTACTATTAATTCAAGTAATGAAGACCATTTTATTCATTGTCATTTTGGTTTTTCAGAGCTGAAAATGCCTGGAAAACACTTGTCGCACGACATTAGGAAATTGGTGATAAGTTGCCACGAGAGAGGATTGAAACCTACAGCAATCAGCAACAAGACGAAAGTGAAGATTCCCACCATCAAATCCATGCTGTCGAAATGGAAGAAATACCATACAATTACTGATTTGAAGGGAAATAGCCGCCGTCGTGTTACCACTCCTCGAGTCGACCGACTTATCCAGAAGAAAGCAAATTCCAATCGCTTCTTATCTGCCCGAAAAATCAATGTGGAATTGGCTCAGCAGTTTGGTACGAAGATTTCTGATTCCACTATTCGAAATCGGATCCGAAATATGGGGTTTAAAGGCCGAGTCGCAACCAAAAAGCCACTGCTGACAAAGCCCCAAATTAAGAAGCGTTTGGATTGGGCGAAGAGTCACTCCACGTGGTCCGTATCCGATTGGAAAAAAGTTCTTTGGAGTGACGAAACCAAAATAAACATATTTGGATCAGATGGCAAAGTTTTTGTCTGGAGAAAACCAGGAGAACGAGTCAAGAGTAACTGTACCAAGAAGACCGTGAAGCATGGTGGGGGGTCCATTATGGTTTGGGGTGCAATGTCGTGGAAAGGCGTGGGAACCATGGAAGTAATTGAAGGAATTATGACGAAAGAAGTGTACCAAGGGATTTTGGACCGAAATTTGATGAAATCTCGGAACAGCCTGCGACTAGGGAAGAATTTTGTCTTCCAACAAGACGGGGACCCCAAACATACGTCCAAATTGGTCACGAATTGGCTGCAAACAAAACGGGTAAACGTAATGAAATGGCCGCCACAGAGCCCGGATTTAAATCCAATTGAACATTTATGGTCAATTTTGAAGAAAAAAGTTGCTGAAAGGAACCCGACTTCCAGAACAAATTTAATTTCAATTGTGGACGAAGAATGGAACAACATCCAGAAGGAAACAACAGCGAAATTAGTGGAATCGATGCCAAATCGAGTCAATGCAGTCCTGATGGCCAAGGGTGGTCACACAAACTACTAATTGTAAAATTAAGTTGGTAAATCTAAAAATAAATGGAATTTGCTTTAAGCGGATGAGCAGAAGTTGCGAGCCCGTTTATGAATTTCTCCATGTTAATGTCGTATAAAATGCATCTAGATAACTTTCTACAAGTTTTTGATGAATAGACTGATTGATAACATATTTCTGCACATTTCATGCCATTTTGATTGGTATTGGTCGGCCGTCCCCCTTTCGGTGACCATTGGAACCGAGCGCACTAGGTGAGGATGATCAGCAGTTCCACCGAGTGTATGTATGTATACATACACCATGCATTATTATATCAAATACCTATGTACATACCAAAGAATTCGAGCAAAATAATTGCACGGAATCGCTAAATATATATACGTATCTTTTATTAAATGAACCACATGTTAAAAAATTCGAGAATCGATATAACCTTAACGACGCAAGTTCCCCATTCCTTTGGGACAAATTTTCCCATCGTGTCGCCTTATCGCCGCAAAAATATTTTAGACTGTGGTTCATCTGAGTGTTTTGTTTTCTCGCTTAATTTTTCGCCATCTTAATTCAACTCACGTCACCGAAGGCGTCAGTGCTGTATATGGAGCATGTAAATAGCAGAGCTCCAATCGGAGCATCACTTATGTAGCTCCAAATCGAGCGTTCGCGTCCTTAAGTTGAAGCATAGCATACATTGCACAAAGTATTTTGGGTAGTATTCCTCTAATATTGCAAAGTATTCCTTAAGATTTGAGATTAAAAATCCCCGAATCAGAGATTAAGATTAAGATTAAAATTATTCTTCCGGTACTAAATTAAATTATTAGGATTAAATTAATCTATTTTTATGACGCAGATTAAAGATTAAAGATTAATTAATGTAGATTAATTATATTGATTAAGAATAATTTTATTTTTTCGTCGTTTTTTATAGTTTACACCGATATTATATCATAAATTATAAAATTTCAGAAAAGAATGAAGTATCAGCGCTTCATAATTGTTGTTCAAAATTATTAAAGTTTTATCTGGTAAATTAAGGTGAATACAATAACTTGTAATACGAGTAAAAATCAGTCTCACCTCAAATGCAACGCGTTTTTAAATTTAAAAAAATAACAACTTTTAATTTTTTTAACTTAAATTAATTTTTTTAATGGCAACAAATTTTTTAATCTGTTTAAGGAATACAATTTTAAATAACGTTCCTTTCAAAAGAGAACCTGTCAATTCAGAATTGTATTGATTTTTAAAAATGGTTCCAGTGTTGAGAGATGATCGTGCGTTAAAATTTGGAGATTTACAAGGACCCGAGTAACAGATGGAGTAATTTTAATCAAAATATTAATCCTGATTAAAATTAAAGTCGAAGATTCAAAGATTAAAAATTAAAAATTAAATTAAATTAAATTGACGTGAGATTAAGATTAAAATTATTGATTAATACGAACAAATTTCTTTATTAGGATTATGGATTAAGATTAATTATTTTTAATCCTAATCTTAATCTTGATTATTTTAATCTAGATTTTCCCAGCTCTGCAGGGAAGGGATACGAATTAGGATTTAGACTATGATTATGATTATATATGTCAAGTAATTACCAGAGTCCGGCTAAATATGTTCTTAAGAACCCCGAAATATTTATGTAAAATGTTCAATCAAATCGCCAAAATATGTATATAAAACATATTTTTAATTCGCTTTAAATTGTGCCAAATTTAGCGTATTTGACTGCAGAAATGCCAAAAAATGCTTTCCCGAGCTACACAGTATGTAACGATTAGGCGCCGACGAAAAGGTACCGAAATGCAACGCTACTTCGTTAATGAAAAGGTACCGAAATTTCGCAGTTAGCACCAAATCAACGCTATTTCATTGCCTACTCATTGGTACTGAATATTCCGTGCGGATTTGGCACCGAAATGTAGGTGTATAATCGGTGCTCGTTAGTGAACGTTGATACCCAACCAGATCGGTACCTGATCGGTACCATTGATAAATTTCGGCGCCGAATCGTTACATTATGGTGTTCAATTTCGTTAGTTTTTCGGTACTAGGATTTGGCAGCTCGGGTTTACATTTCAAAGTGACAAACTAAAAACATTTCAACATGCTCTGGTATTATTTCTACGATGATCGGAATTTTTTATGAATTGTGAATTTCTGAGGTTCCTCTAAAAGAATATATTTTTTCGAAAAAATCGCTGAAATATGTAAAAACATATTTATGTGTATTGACAATAATATATATTTTTGAAAAAATCGCCGAAATATTTAAATACATATTTATGTATATCAAAAAATGTTCATTTTCGACAAAATCGTCGAAATATGTTAAAACATATTTATATGTACTGTTACAATAGTGTACAATGGTGTACTAGGATAATGCATTACGTAATAAAAGACCCTAGTTTTATGACCTAGCCTGTAGGTATAAATAAGCCTCCAAAATCTGTGTGAGAGGCAGATGAGATTTGTTCTTACTAGCGCACGGTTTCAACCTCTGGAACTTGAGCTTGGTAAATGTTAATAAATGCAATACACAAATGTATAAAAGAATGCGTTGCTTTCTTCATTAAATCATCATGTTTGCCATTCTAATGCGTAACATTTGGTGCCGAAACTAAAATCTTTTAGAATCTCTTTTTACATAATTCGCTACATATTTAGAAAAATTTTTCAAAAAATTATTTTGGGTATTTCTTTTCCTTTCACAATGTTCTCTTGCTTATCTCCTAAAAAAAGGGATAAAACTTCCACTAAAATTAAAGAAATTGATTTAACACAAGGCAAAGCTACTCTCCAAAATCAGGATTGTAAATTTGAGATTGATTTGACTTCATCGAATGAATTTCAGTCAACTCAGAAAAACTCGAAAAATTCGAAAAAGTAGAGTAAAATCCAAACTTTTAGCCATTTATTTTTGCCTCAATTTCATTTACAATGTTTTCCTGTTTTAAGAAAGGCTCAAAGCCTACCCAGGAAACTCCTAAAGTAGAGCCCCATCATAAAAATATCACCATGCCTAGGTCTACCTGGTATGTGGACTTGCCTTCCACACAAAATACTCAGAAATCTTCAGTAGAACAAAAGCAACCCAAAAAGTAGGGCACAGTTGACCTTTTCTATTTTTATTGCTGATTATAAAAGTACTCAACTAACAATGACAACAAAACCTGTTAAGTTAGGGGTCGTTCCCTCTACCTTTTCTGGTCGTGCAGACCAAGATCCTTATAAGTATTTACAACGATTTGAGCTTGCTGCACAGGCCAATTCATGGGATGAGACGATAAAAACGGCTCAACTTCAAAACTACTTAGCTGACACAGCCCTTTTATGGCTCCACAAATATTTAAAAGAACAGAATGCTCAGGCGACAGCAACTGCGGGTGGTACTCCTACGATTGCAAAGATCAAGTGGAAAGATATTACGGAGGCCTTACAAAAGGCTTTCAGGACAGTGGCCTCGAAAGAGGTCGCCGAGGACAAAATGTTAGCTAGAAAACAACGCTC